GTTCTCAGCTCCGACACTGCTTTGCCTGAGCCAGAAGTTTGCCTCTGTTCTCTCTCTCTCTCTCTCTCTCTATCACACACACACACACACACACACACACACACACACACACACACACACACACACACACACACACACACAGAAACAGAACAGCAAGGCTTTCCTGCCGTGCAGAGGAAAGTGGAGAAGTCAAAGCAGGTGTTTCCAAGAAGTTTAACAAAGACATAAAGTATGTGCACCATGGAAAGTGAGTTTATCCCGAAACACGCTACAATAACTTTGACACGATGAGAAAGTCATCTGGTTTTAATAAAAAAATCAAATCGTATTGAAGAAACACATTAATCCAAAAAGCCTCGGAGAGCTGATAGTTTTTCACAGTTCACTGTAAATCCCAGCTAAGTGACTGCAAGTTGAAATGAAATTGATAAAATGTTGTGTATACAGTCATGAAATTATGTGTTATCTGAGTGTTTTAGTAAAGCTTAAATACTGTGGTATGTTAGCAACCCTCAGAAAAGTCTGGCTTTGCCTTCAGTGTAAGAGCAGGGTACAGCTAGTTGTCCCTTAATCACTACACATTGCAGAGGCAGGACCAAACCAGACCATAATTAGAATATAACTGAAATAGTGTGTAAAAAAGAAAGAAAGAAAGAAAGAAAGAAAGAAAGAAAGAAAGAAAGAAAGAAAGAAAGAAAAAAAGAAAGAAAGAAAGAAAAGGAGTGTGATAAGCCACACAGGTGTAAAACAAAAAAAAGAAAAAGTTGTCATCAGTTGTCATCAGATGTTCTCAAATAACCCAATTATTGTCCTTCCCGAGTATCTGATTACTTTAAATGGCAGTTTTTTTAAATTTGGGAATTTGTCACAAACAATTAGTCTGGCAAACCTAGACAGTGGAAGCAAAGCTCTAACAGCCACAAGTTTTCAGCCAACCCCATCAGCCTTGTTGTGCCATGATGTAACTCTGTCTCAATCTAGACACAGCACCAGATAGTCATTTGTGAGAACAGCCGAGCCTCACACAGAGAAACATGCAACCAGACAACCAGAACTCACTTCCACATGGAAATTTTAAACCACTCCATCATAGAGTGACAGTGGGTCAATCATGAACACTATTGGTTTTTGTATTGGTTTTAAAGCTGACTGAGAGAGCAGCTTTATGTTGTTTAACTCATTAAAAGGATCAGATTCCCTTAACTCACTGAGTCAAATGTAGATGGGAGTGGCAGGATAAACACTGCAGTCCTGGTGTGTGGGGAGAGTACAATTTGTTTTCAAGTGATGGTCCTGCAGCTTTAAATGCAGGACTGTTAACATAGGTGATTCCCAGCACGCAAGCAATGTGCTTGGAGAAAGAGAAGACGAGGAATAACTTGGAGATCAAAGTAGATGACTTATTGGAAATGTGATACGACGCAGTCAGGGAAGCTGAGGAACAAGACAAGCTTTTAGCTGCCTACAGAGATGACAGCAAGAATTTGGGAAATACAGATAAGGACACGAGACATATGACCACTGAATGAAATGAACGCACTACACATACTAAGGGTTGTAGTGTAATATGGCTTGTAACTTTGTTTAAGTAAAAGGCCGGACACTTTTGTCTTCTTATCCATAATAACAAGAACCACTTCAGTGGATCTGCAGTGCATTGATTATATGGATGAAAATCCAAAAGAAGCGTTTTCTGATCCCTTAATGAAATTTCTAGTATTTTTAGGCCAGTGTTTCCTCTTTCTTTCTGACTATAGTACTAGGAAGGAAGGAAGAAAGGAAAGAAAGAAAACCGCTGTAGGTATAGATATAAGGTAGAAAAGCCCTTCACTTGAGCACAGTGAGTAAATAGACCTGTATAGCTATATATGGAATTTTCCAATTCCATATAGTTAAACTGCATTTTTAATTACATTTCCATGTTTTTTCCTGAAACAGTATGATGACAATTCCATATTGGGCTAACTGAGTGGTGGTGGGAAATGGCAGGAAAAGCCTGAGAGAGACAGCCAACTGTTATTTGCACCCTCACGGGATGTTACCATTCATATCTCAGTTGTAGATGTTTGTGAAGGACAGAAAGATGTAGAGGATGTTCTCTACAAACTTCACTTTTACATAAATCATGTCCTGGTATTTGACTCCAGCTGATTATTGATGGTGTTCTGACCCAAGATCATGTGGATCATACATGTTTTATATGTGTGACTCACCTCACCAGAGGATGTGGGTGTGGGTTTTTCTCTCTCCTCCCTCCCAGGTGTGTGAATGGGTTGGACTTAATGGATACAGGTGCCTGCTGAGTGGGTGGGTTCAATTCCTCCACCACCCAGTAGGCTGTGTTTCTGCTAGTAGCTTTGAGTGTTTCTCTGGGAAAATCCAGAGTTGAAAAGTTCGTTAGTGAGTAGATTTGTGTGTTTGGCTTATGAGAGCTGGTCTAGATCTTTGTAAACAGTTTTATATATTAGACAACCTGGAGTATTCTTTAACTGTACATACACTGCAGCAGCCTTTTTGTTGAAAACGGTTTTCTCTTGCTAATGGGTGTAAGAGTTTAGTTAAGAAAATTTGGTGTTTTTTGTATTTTTATTTTGGGTCAGGGAAGATTGGGTAACAATGGCCACACACCACGAACTTCAGACGTCTCTTTGTGTTTACATTTTCAGTCCCTAATGTCACCAAGTGCTGCACAAGTGAATAAGGAGTATCTCCAGAGCACATGTTCCTCAAGCAGTGGACATAAGTGACTGGTACCCATTATGATTTATTATAATAATCTCGATCTAAACTGAAATATGAATAGGAAACAAACAGATGCATGTAAGACGTTGCTCACTGATATCTGCAGTCAGGGATATAGGATATGTCGCTTAATGGTGAAGCAGTGCAGAAAACATTACTGAGAGCAAACAAAGTTAATGCAGACTGACTGGAAAACAGTAAATAATGAAAATGTCAAAAATGTCACATGCCCTTTAAACCTTTGTGAACCAATACACAAAATAAGTCCTTTCACATACAAAGAGCTCCCTCCATCACAAATATGTACAATACATAGGATGTGTAAACATGTGTTATGTGTTTTTGTATAGCTACTTGGACTAACTATCAGATGTCATCAGGACTGAAGGGAGTGAAATTGTTAGTATCAGTTATCAGCATTTACAGTGAAAACATGTGCCTAAATTACCCCATCTCTGCTAGAGATACCTAAAGGAACAAGGCTTGACATATTTGCAATAAGGGTCGTGTTCAGAAAGCAAATACTAGCTAATAGTCTTGTGACTGAAAGACCCCCAACTGAAAAATAAAAAATATTTCAAAAATATTTCATCACCTGTTTGTTCACATAAAATGTGTGAGTAAAGTATCAGGTCATCTTGATTACCAGAAAGGTTTCGGAGCTCTTTTTCACTGATTCTAAAAGTCTATAGGGGAGACTGAGGATAGTTGTAACATTTTTGGCATTTCCGTCTGTAACTTGGAGCTCTTTTAAGGTAGCGAATTCAAAATGTAATGCAAAGTATTTACATGTCTCTGCTATTAAATAGTACAGCTATTTTCTCTGCAGCACAATTACTCATTCCATGGTATGGTCTCAAACACAAAGAGTGAATGTTACAACTAACCCCATAACATATCCTGGGGTGAAATGTAACACAATGAAATAAGGGTACTGACAAATTCTTAACATGTAATCTTTTTTATTCAACACATGAATGCACTTGGAACTATTTATGTAGCTGTGTGTGTGTGTGTGTGTGTGTGTGTGTGTGTGTGTGTGTGTGTGTGTGTGTGTGTGTGTGTGTGACACAAATCTAGCTTTTGAACATATTCCAACCCCCCAAAAAGACTAATTATGGAATTTTCAGCAACTGAATATTTCATTCATTTTGGTTGGTCTTCCTTGAGTTTGGCCTCATTGGCTCAGAAAGATGAGGAAATCTGTTTCTTGCACCCATCCTGATTTATTTCCACTACCAGTACTTCCTACTGGTCCATCTCTGACACAGTGGTCTGCATAATGTATGTGTGGGAACACAAACAGTGGAGGAATTGTGTTGCCAATGGCATTAACCGCATATACAAAGGTGACCAGTGACCCTCTCTCTGCTGATGTCGTTGCCCCAACTTGTTTAATATAAGTTAAAGTAATAGTGTGGTAACATCTGCATTATTGTTACAACTAACCCAGACTGTTGCTGTTACAACTGACCCAGACTCCTATAGCCATGAACTAGCTAACATTACAGCCAACGGCTAAAACACTAGCACTAAAGACCTACACAGAATATATCCCCATAGACATACAAATAACATCATTTAAGTTTGATGAGTTTAACTGCAAAGCAGATAATGCTATCACAAATTGAAATAAAGTAGAAAAACTTACTTTTTGGCATACAAATGACTTCTTTTCTTCTTAAATTGTCTGTGTTTGACAAAATGTGCTAATTTTTCACATGTGATAGAAGAACTGAATTGGACATGTACAGGATGAATCACATCGTTTGAAACTTAGCCCTGATTGGAGAAATTTGAAGTGTTACAACTGACCCACGTTACAACTATCCCTGGTCTCCCCTACTTTTCTGGACGTTTCATTAGGTGTTTTTTTTATGATGCAGGTGGAGATTGCTGTCAAATGTATCAGTCCAAAATGTCCTGTAAGTGTTCAGTGAGTCAGATTAAAAACTATCTCTTAGAACATTTTTATATTGATTTCACCTCTGACAATGCCAGCACACAGCATCACCACTGAACACCCTGATTGTAGGTATCAAGAGTCCATGTTCTTCTGAAGAAATAGTCCTATGGTAGCTTTTATTTATGCTCAAAGAGATCCTTTAAAAAATAATTTAAAAGAGATCCTCTGACTCTCTGTAAAGCTTTTATAGTTAAATCTCAGTTCCTGTTTTGTTCTTTAAATCAAAGATTTATAGTTTTAGGAACTACTGAAATACTTAAAAAAAAAAAAACTGTGTCATAGATGGATATATACAAATCAATTTTACTGTTTTTGTAAGAAAAATGTGTTTGTTTGGAAACTTGCACTGATCAGACTGTTGGTTGTTACAGAAAGTGTTGGTACATTCACTCAACTATATGTCACCAAAATGAAACAGAGGGATAGGCTTAACCAGATGGACAACACGGCTAATATGTAACAACCTGAGAGATTTCATAGAAAGCATTTAAGAAATCCGCAATGGTGAAGGTGGCGCCTGGTGGCTGCAAACTGCTGCAGAAAACTGCGTGGCTGCATTCACTACAAGGGAGTGTGCGCTACTGGCTTGTCGTGTTCTAGCCTGACGCACGCACCTCTGTCCGCTTTCTCACTGAGATAGAAACCGACAGAGATATTTGACCTCTGTGTTGTCATATACTCAGAAACACAGGAGCAAAATAATCATGGATCAAGCTTTTCAGAACACAATAATTATCAGAAAGAACGAGACGTTTTCACTTTAAAATGGAGACCGTTCTGTGTCGCTTTCCAATATGTTGGGTTTTGTGTTTGTGTGATACTTTGTTTTTTTATGTTAACGTGTTAATATTTGTTACGCGTTATTTAAACTGTTAATTGTTCTGTCTTTGAGCGCCGATATGGGGGCGGTTGTTCTGCCAGCTGTTGGCCAAAGGGGCGGGTTCTTTCTCCGCGAGGGTTAAGTAGCTCCACGCAGCAGAGCAGAGAAAGCATTGGGCACTAGTCCGTCTCCGCTTCTCTGTCTGTGACTCGCGGGGAAAATTCACGCTTTTATACTGAGGCTAAATTTAGGGGCTGGTCGGTACACCGCGTCCCTATCCTGAACGCGCTTCCTTCCCCTAGCCACACACTGGTCCGGTTTATGTATGTAGTGATATTTATAAGAAAACCAGTTGTTCCAGGCGCAGAGCTGCATGTGAGCGAGGACCAGCTCACCGGACGGCAGAAGTTACGCGCTCGTAGCCTTATCTGGCAACTCAGCGGACTTTGGTGACTTGCCTTAAACAGAAGTTATTTTTATAATTCAGTGTTTTTTACTATTCATAATGGCCTCGAGTGGGACAATTTTACCATCCATCTCTACATTTTCCAACCAAAAAGAAAAATACTGGGAAGATGTAAGTTGGCCTTTTTATTTATTAACTGTTGCTTTCACCGAGCTTCATGCACTTGTCTTCCTGCTATCAGAAAGCATATTTCTATTAGTTGTTGTTTTATTTGTGTATATTATACATATGTGTGTATTGATCATCTGAACGGGTTGAAAGAAATGATGCATTCTGAAACAAACTGTGCTCCCATCCCTGAAGCAGAAGTGGAAAAGCGACGCGATCAGCAGGGCAGATATGAACAGCAGCTGCCAGGGCAGAAAAGACGAAGAGGACCTGGACAGGTTCTTGGATCTGGAGTTTATTCTCGCGAACACCGCCGATTCCAGCAGTGCGTCGGCCGCCGGGACGGTACCGGAGTCATACCGCCTTCAGGATTCCGGGGTGTCTGTTTATCAGCAACAGCAACAGCATCACATCGAAATGTCCCATCAAACAAGCGATTACACGTCTGTTCCAGACATGAACAGTCCTTCCCAATACAGCAGCCTGATGGCAGAGCTCCTTCGCTCCGACATGGATACCAGCTTCCTCCCTGCGAGCAGCTCCGGTATTCAGGGAAGATTCTTGGTCAGTTCCACGCCTTTCCAGACCACTCAGGGTGTATTCCTCGAGCACCCGAACATTAAAGCTGAGCCGGTCTCAGTGGACACATACGGACCTGTCATGGGTCTGGCGCCTCAGAGCTGCACTAAAATCAAGCACGAAGGGAACGTCTCATGCATGGTTTTTAACGAGCAGCCCCGGCTTGCAAGCTCCCCGCAGGGAGCGATGGGCAGCATGACCCCGCCGCTCAGCCCGGACGACCTGATGAACACCGAGAGCCAGCAGCGCCAGATTTGTACCTCCACCTCGCCGACGTTCCCGCAGACTTTCCACCTACACCACTGCAAGGCGCCCGCGAGATTTCCTCACCAGCACGGCGCGATGCACTTCTCCTTCACTGAGGCGCTCCACCAGCATAAACTCACCGGCGTTTTCGGAGAGGACGCAGCCATGGGCCTGCAGCAGGCAGCTGGCCAGCGGGTTTTACTCACTCCGCCCTCCTCCCCGCTGGATATTATGGACACCAAGCCAAAGAGGGGTCGCAGGTCCTGGCCGAGGAAGCGAACCGCGACACACACCTGTACTTTCACCGGCTGTGGAAAGACCTACACGAAGAGCTCTCACCTGAAGGCGCACCTCAGGACTCACACAGGTAAGATCTGCAGGCTGAGTGTGGCGGGCATGTTATTCAACTACGTCACGAACTATGCTGTCACTGATGGGTGTTCTTTGTGTTCTTAGGAGAGAAGCCATACCACTGCAGCTGGGAGGGTTGCGGCTGGAAGTTCGCTCGCTCTGACGAGCTCACACGTCACTTCCGAAAGCACACCGGGCACCGGCCATTCCAGTGTCACTTGTGTGAACGGGCATTCTCCCGGTCTGACCATCTCGCCCTCCACATGAAGAGGCACATGTGAGCAAATACCAGAAGGACAACAAACAGACAATGACTGATTTGCACAGCATCAGCCTGATTAAAGAATCCTACGATGGGCCACATGGATCCGACGACAATATATAGATGCAAGTTCCTATAGGAGTGTTAATTTTACTGGTACCATGAATGGATAATGGGACCACTGTTGACTACACTGTAATAGCTATATGTATTGTATAGGATTATTATGGTGACTTTTATGAAGGCTTATTAGGCATTAAGATGACATGCCATCACACGAGACTATAAACATATTTTCTGGGAAAATATATATATTTTTATTGATATGTGTATGTACGTGCATGTGTATGTGAGTGTAAGAAATCACAAGAAAACCACAAACAGCAAACATATGAATTCTATTCTGAATTCTTGCAGATGTAGCTGGTACTACTTTTTTTGTTTATTTGCAAAGGTAACAGGGACGTTCCACTTAACATATCAGACACATGCCAATGAAGCAACTGGATGCAGATGATCCTTAAATGTGTGATATTTGAGTTTGTATTTTTTACAATAAGTGCCTTATACATCACTTTAGTACAGAACTAACAAGTGCCATAATCTCTACTGGCCAAAAGACAAAGTTTTATTAACTGTGTTTTGTAACAAGCAGATGAAACAATGTTTTAGGAAAATGTTTTCTTATGAAATCGTCTCGTTGAAGGTTTGAACTGAATGTCCTGTCTGTGAGTCTGTCTGCTGGTTAGTAGCATTTGAAGTCAGGGTTTTACAGTCTCACAGACGTGCGTCGTCTCGACTCCAATCGACTGACAAAGGACTAAACAGTCTTTGGCAAAAAGATTTGTTTGTGTCTTGAAGAAATGTACTGCCTTGTGAATTCAGTCATTTTATATACTGGAAAGTAGTTTATTTTAATGTACATATTAAACTAAATGGATAACATGATCTCTGACTCCAGAGTTTGATTTTCAAAGTTCACAGGTCTATAAAAGGGTTTTTATTCGACAAAAGTTCAAATACTCAAAGGTCACTGTAGTGAGTCAACATAGAAGGGTATATCAGAAGAAAAGCACCTGAGAAGACGAGCAATATCTTAGGGCATGTAGATACAAGTATGTGGACATTTAGTAATAGGTGAAGCATCCTGAGAAATTGGGTCAACCCACTCATATACTCATAAATATAAACATTACATTGGCATAATTACAAAGTATGTATGGACGCTACGTGGAACATAAGGGCAAATATGGAGTGGTGAAAAGAAAGTGTTTCAAATAAACTAAAAAAAAAGGGATAAAGAAAAGCTCAAAAAAGAAAAAGTTGCCTGATGGAAGACTGTTTTCCGGCAGCTTGAAGCCGGGAGTTGGAGAGATATTTTGTTGTAATGCTACTTTTTGTAAGTCATGTTTTGTTTGCAAAAAATCCGTTTTGAGCCACCAACGCTAAATTTAATTTCAAAAGCAACCTTGTTAATAGCTAGTTGATATCTTTAAGTCGTGGGAATGTTTCAACCCCACAAAGATGTTTAGATCAAAAAGATTTAAATTCTGTGGTGTGAGCCTTTAATGCATTACATGTTAAATCAGTAATGGGAACAGTTGCCTCATAGACCATTAGAGCATGACAGAGATGATCGAATAGTAAGGGTGTGATCATCATTCTTACTTCACACACACTGGAAACAAGAATCTGGGTTAGATCCAATTACTATCCAAACTACAAGAATAAAACTACCATCCAATATTCTTTAAACTGTAAATTTGACCATTGTCAAGTAACATGCATGCTTACCACATGTAGTGTTGGAAGCATATAGGTGATGGCTCTTAATGAAACTTCACTATCTCTCCATTTCCGCTAAAGCCGTGACAAGGCCTGTGTTTATTTTGGGTTGTGAAAGGTCACTTGTCTCAGTACCATCTCCGCAATTGCCCCGTGCCAACCCTCAGAAAAGAGGAACACTCCCCACCACTATGTTTAGTACATTCACTCAAGTGAAAAATCAAACATTTTCATTTCACTTTTTTCAGCTGGGTGCAGAAGGGTAACTGCCACTGTGGAGCGTGGGAAGCTCTGGCGTGAGGGTGACCTGGTTTACATGCTGGTTTCTGCCTTTGTGAAAGCAGCAGAACAAGATAGATTCATTATCATAATATAGATTTGCCTTAAAGGAAGAGGGCAAGGTTCGCTGAGGTCGTGAGTGCGGTCTGATCCAACTTAGGTGGGAGGCCGAGGGCTTGCAAGCCCCATAGGCTGATTGGGCCTGCAGCATATGAGCAACACTGAGCTCAGTAGGCAACAAAAGGGACAAGAAGTGTATTTATGGGAAGAGGTTGCCATCTACTGGGATAGCAGCACTGCTGTGGACTGCAGGAAACTTCTGCTGGAATGTTTTCCCTGCAGTTTCCCAGATGGATCGTAAATTCCGCTGAGTGTGAGAGCGAGAAATCACAAGGAGCATAGTTAGAAGAGACACAAATCAAAAAAGGACGCTGTGTCTCCCAGTTGAACTAATTATTTTTTTATTTTTGCAGGTTGAGTATTTAATCAAAGTACGAAAAATGTATTTAAATATTTTAACCAATGTAACATTTTTTTGTTTGATAAATTATATGTTATACATGTGATGCCGTGTGGGGACAATGATGAAGAAAATTAAACAAAAAGTTATCCATCAAAATGCACCTAAAATGGAAAAAAAAAGTTTATGTTTACATCAGCAGGGGAAACCAAATGAAATGATAAGAAACAGGTACAAAAACCACCTGAACATTAGACTCTTAATGTTCTATTGTTTGTTTATTTTTAGTTTGTAAAAGGTTGAATTGTACATTAAATAAAACCTATCAAGTAAATTTGTGTTTAGTTGATTATTTCTTAGCATCTTTTCAATGCATTTCCTATTAAAACTATATAAAGACTATAAAGACTGCTCTTTCAGTCTTCATTTAGCTGCTGTCGACTGTCAGACTTTGTGTGGCTCAGTAACCAAACAGGTTTATGTCAGTGTTCAAACTGAAAAACAGGCTTCCAGCAAGTTCTGGTTCTTCCAGATCATGTGCGTTGTAACACATGTAAAATACAATACACACACACATGCATAAACACAAAGAACTACAAGGGAACATACAAGAGATATGTCTGCCCAGCATACATACACTACACCCCGTGGTGTGTATTTTTGTAACAATTTTTAGGCCAGATTCGATTTTCACCAGTGGATAAAATGAGCTTGCAGCCAAAGCTAATCAAACACTGGCTGCATGCTTTTGCGGAAGGTAAGATTTACACTCCTACAAAAACACTGGGAGTCTGCTCAGTTCATTTTTGTCTAAAAAGATAAAATCATGTTAAATTTGCTTGTCAAATATCTCCGATAGCCCCATTATTTGGGCAGGTAATTTGTGTTATGAAAGCAAGATCAGCTTTTCAGCAACTATGAAATCAGAGAAGGTGTAGCTGTGCTAGCAGCCATATAAGGGTTGTTGTTGACCAAATGATGGCGTCAGCATTCTAATCTGCTTAAAATGAAACAGTCAACATGTGACGTCTCAGGTAAGCAGGAATAACGAGAGTACAAGCAAACAGTATCCAGCCTCTTGATGTGAACCACAGCTACAGACTGTGTTTTCTTACTTTAAGAACTAAACATTTTGTGACAAACAGAATACACACGTGCAGTTAAAGTTAAGGTAGTTATCTAAACAATTGCCTGGACAAAGCATTCTGGATGTATTCTCCTGTCTCAGCCTCCTTGACGGGCTTTAACACAGGTATTAGTCTTGTGATGTGATGTCACAGTAGTTTACTGTAATCCTGTATAACTAATGATTAACTTTTATCTTCATAAAAATAACATGTTCTTCAAATATCTACATTTTGCTTAAGTGATTTAGTGCTGAGTTCCTTAGATAAACAATTTTACACACATTAAGATTGGGAGTCAAAATTCATTGTTACCAGTTAACAGACTGGTGTGTATACAGTGCTCATCCACTCTGAAGACTCAAAGTATTTTTTAAGAAGAAGTCACATTAACACAGTGCTTTTTATTGTATACCTTTAAGTGCTTTCTAATTACTGCACAACAACACTCCAGTGGATGCATCAGGAGCAATTTTGGTTCAGTTTACTGTCTTATGGCTCTTGAACTGGACATCAGACTGTCAACCTTACAATTACTCAACAATCTGCTCTCCCTGCTGAGCCACAGCCCCTAAAACACAGTGAGGCTCCCGTTTCCTTTCAGCTTGAGACTGTCAGTTTGTTTCCAGGATGGCATCATGCCATGGCAGATTATGGTCAAGATGTTCGTACCTCAATCGAGATATAATTTCAAAACGTGTGCGCGGCTCCATTTGACATAAAAGTCAAGTTCATATATACACTATATGGAAGAAAGTACCAGGCTACCGACACATTACATCAACAGGAGCCACTCGGTCATCGAAAGCCATGTCATGAAGCTCAAGGTCCACGGTTATGTGTTGATGTTAATGCCAGAGGAGGTTTAGTCAGCAGAGCTTTGCCAGCTTTTACCGTAGCCTCAGCATTCAGCAACTCTGCGCTGTAACTTCACGAGGTACACTTGCTGTGGTTCCTTAACACTTGCACTTTGCAATAAACAGTACATTGCACAATAACTGAAACCAGCCCCCTGAATGAACACTATCTGTAAAGATGTTCCTGCATGAAAATCCCAACCATGCCACATTCTCAGTCACTTAACTCATCATTCTGAGCCATTGTGATGCTTGGTGAACTTAAGTGGGTTGTCTTGATTATGTCTGCCTGAATATATTGAATTTCTGTCATGTTGATCACATAAGTGCACCAACAAGCAGTTGAATAGATGTACAGGGACTAGTGAGTGCTCATGGTCAATTCCTCCAATACAAAGGGCTTCTTTTATCTCCAGGTTGTTAGGTTTTTAGTATCAAAAATGTTAACAGCACTCCAACATTACCCACAAATATTCTCTGGCTCACAGGTTTTTAATTTCCCTCCTCTTCATTATCGTAGAGTAAACACAATAGTGTGAAGAATTTCCTCTTATTCCTCAGTGAGACAGTTAGCACTTGCCAACATAGAGGATTTGCTTGGTTTACAGCTAATATGTCCAGAATTGCACAGCATTCATTTCACACTTGACAGGTGTGCCCTTGAAATGAGTGTAATTCACCTCACACTGTGACTGTCTGGGAGGGGAGGAGCATCTGTAAAGTATTTACTTTTGTTACAGCCTCATTCCAAAAAGGATTCATTTCTCACCTCAAAATTTAACGCAAAAATAATCCATGAATAAAAAGTCCGCTTGAAATTCATCCATATGGATAAAAACTAAAAAACAAAAGCATACCGTGAACAAGTATTACAGTTAAGTACTGACATCCTTTGCCATGACATTCAAAACAACGAGTTTAGCTGAAATGGAGAATTGTAAACTTTCATCACGGTTGCTATGGTGATTGTGTGTAGGCTTTTCAGGTGAAAAATGACTCAATTTTTGAATCAGGCTGACAAAATGTGGAAGAAGTGAAGCACTGTGAATACAGCTACAGATGTCTGGTTTGGAAAAGATTGTTTGGGATAAAAAAAATTACTTTGAAAATGCTGAAGGATGGATTTTAAGTTCTAATAGCTTCTAAAATGATTAAAATCACTTTATTTCTTAATGGAATTGCGATTTAGGGATTTAATAAATTACATTTGGCACTTTTTCCCTAAATATGTAATTAAGAATTTAAGATTTCTAAACGTGTAATATTATATTAAGCTTTACAAATAGTCATACAAAACTGTTGACAAGTCAAACATGCATTCATTAATGGAAATGTTTATTCTAGTAAACAGTACAGACCATATAGAGACCATAGAGATCCTCACTTTTCTAGGTAAACCTCTGTTCTCTACCCGTTGTTCCAAATGTTTTCCTCTATAATTCACTGGTTCGTTTGTTTATGCTGTTAGGACACATATACCAGACATGATACTACAGAGACCGTACACGCACTGTATGCATTTTTATAAAAACAGCGCTGAATAATTTGTCGATAGCAGAGAGAGCAACAACAACAAGAGTTAGAAAAGAAATCAAAGAAATGACGAATGACACAATGAATTCATTTTGCCTGCTTAATATTAAGCATCAGCATTCCAGCAAAGACAGAATTCAGTGGTTTCACACTACAAGAAAACATGAACCATTCTGATAAAATGAACATTAAAACAAAGAAACTGTTAAGCTGTAATTTTGACACTTATCATCAATCATAAGCTGATATTTCTTAACTGCTAACACTGTTGATATTTTAATAACATTTAGTAATTAACATTGTGTTTACTTGTTTTTCCTCAAAATAAAAAAAAGGATTTGCGATAAAAGGCTTTTGATGCTTGGAAGAAAATCAGGTCAGAAGAGTGGCTGGCTGTGGATACATAAATAATTATATTAAAAACATACACAACATATAAAAAATTAGACTTCTTTCAGACTATACATAAAACAACAATAAAAGAAACATATCTATTGCACAATGGAGGTATCTAATGACAAATACAGTATGAACAATGGTACCAGTCTGTTAACAGCAGTACACAGCAGACGGGGTGATTGCAGACACATATCATAGGCGGTCTTTTACAGAAGGACCGAGTATTGAGTGCTGCTAGTTCTTGGTGCTAATGATAATATGCATGTTGTTCCATCTCACCACATACTCTAATTTCAATTGTTTTCAGCACTGGTGCAGAACGTCAGAATCAAACCCATAGAACTGCTGTCCAACCCTACTTCTCAAGGAGTGCGTTGGCATAATCACAGGTCCCTCTGTTTCCTACATGCTGCTAGTTATACTGTGTGAAAATATCACATCCTAGCTTGTTGAAGTATATACACCGCCACAGAATGTCAGCTGTGCTATAAAGATAACGCACCTCTCTGCCCTATAATATACAGAACGAGTCCACGTTTTGCTTTCAAAATTCAGCTGAGCCATCCACATACACACTCAGTCAAAGGACACTCTCTTTAGTTCTGGGAAAAATAAACTTCTATAGCACTTAAGCCAGTGTGGGTTCCACATAGTTACAAGAAGAATAGCAAAAGCTTCAGTCCTCTAGCTGTATCTATACAGACTTCTTTCAGGCTCAGTACCACATGCAAATCTCCCACATTGTGACCTCAGTGGTATCACAGCCTATGTAGAAGTCAAACCAACCATGTCTTTGAACTGTGGCAGGAAGCCGAAAAGTCAAACTCCACCTGTGAGGGGCCAGCTCGAAGGAGACTTGAAACATGAACATTCTTGCTATGATATCACCTTAACGAAGCAGTTAGACTATTATGTCACAATCAGCAGTGACAAGTTTAGAGATGCCCCAAGCAAGAAGCTTAGATCACATTGCTTCTCAAGCTAGTATAGATGAGTTGTTAGGTGACTGCTATTGGAATACATGTTTGATCTGATGTCAATGTGCTGTAAGAATGAAAGAAATCTGGTTAACAAACAAAAGTAACACCACTAGCCACTGTGAAAAACAGGGGCAAACAATTCTGCAGTAAGGTATTGAACATACTGCACCTTTTAGATAATACACATAGCTTTTTATTCAACTTCTAGTATACCACACTATAAGCTTTTTACTCGATAGCAATTAAGTTAACTGTAACGTTTTATAATGCAGTGAGAACAAGTGTGTAGCTGACGACCTGCTGGCGCGTAGAAGCTCATGAACAGTTTTATTTAAACTGAGAAAACGGACGGACACGAGGGGGCTTCTGTTCATGGCAGAGACTTAAAAGCCAACGTGTGTTTTATGACTGAGAAGTAGATGAAAGCAGGTTTATCACATACTAAGGACACCGCTCAGTAACAGCTATAGTAAAAGAAACACTCTTGATGTGTGAACATAACAAAGAAAAGCTGAGAGAGGCAGTTTACACTTCTTACTCGCAGAATCAGGGGTGCATTATCAACCTTAACTTCACTTTTCACTCCTATTTTGGTGAATTCACATTACAAGGATTTATATAATGCTGACCCTCTGGAAAGCAGTTTCAATATGTCTGACATCTGGGAAGAAAAAGACAAACAAATATGCAATGTTGCATCATGAAAGTAACCACATTAGTACCAGCATTTTCTTTTTCAACGTGATGAGTGGAAAAGCAAGTGTAACACTTATTGGAGGTCATTCTGTCATATCACTCAGTTCAGAGCCTTTACACGCCTCCAGCTCGTATTTGGGACCATCCCATCACAGTTTTGGACTGAAATCTGACGCAACCTGAACATTTCAGTACATTTTTTTTATGTATTAAACTTCAAGTTAAGCAGAATGTACGCCAGTGTTTTCTGTTATTAGAAGGAGTTTATATTTTCATTAAATTGCAACAAATCTGAAGTGATTTCAGAATGACTGAAACATTTTTAGGTTCCATCAGATTGCATCCAGTGCAATGTTACAGTATAAAGATCACATCAGTAAGCTTTGCTTTGCACTAACAGCTCAGAAGTTAAGTTCAATGAAATCTGCTTTTATGGGACAGCAAAAGAACAAAATCCAAATAAAAAACAAAACAAAACTCTAGAAACAACGTATTTCTGTCTCCCTTAAGCATTGGTTCATAGTTCAAGTAAAGAGACAACTCCTAAAATAAACAAAGTGAGTTGTTATGGAGCATCAAACTATGTCACATAAGAATTAGCACTCTTCAACATCCAGTTTCCTGCCAGTCAGAAATCTATCTGCAACTTGTGTTTGCCGTTCTGTAGTCACCAACTAAAAACAGTGCTAAAACCATCAGTTTCTACAAAAGAATCAATAAAAAACAGACTAGTTGAAATATGAAAAATGAATTCCCTCATCTTTTATTTCATTTGCTGGATGTGGTATGATATCATATCATTGTGATCAGAGTACAGTTGTCAAGAAGAGGCATAGGCTCTGTCTATATACACCGCAGAGACGGCAAGAAAGCTCTACAGGTCAGTGCAGAGGACTCTACACGATGACCTCACTCATGATAACGGAAAACATATTTTTACAGTACGTTACTCTCACTCCAAAGAATATGTCGATATCCTGACATAGTTATTTTCATTCATTAGGTAGTTATCACATTAGAGGAAACCAATGTAATGCACGCTGCTTCCCTCAGCTTCTGTTACTTTTATGTCTTCATTTTTTTAAACTGAAATGATGAGCCAGAGGAAGGGAGCGTCTGTGATGGGTGGCAAACGTAATACTGAAAAAGAGAAACATATAAGCTACAGACTCAAGGCAGAAGAGTACCAAAGAAAAACAACCCTACTCTGAGTCTCTTCCCCCCGCTCTGTATTATTTATTTCTTCATGATAAATAAGCACAACACAAAGTAAAGTGGGTTTTCACATTATGTCACATTTAAACTGGGGACTGAAAGACAAATTCACAAGAGAAGCCATTTAAACTCAGGGACTACAGCACACACCTGAAAAGATAATATTGTCTGTGGTTCCTTGAGGCCTTTTGAATTTCAGTAGTACACAGAAGGAATATTTCATGACAATTTTAACATTACTGTTAAAATTGTTATACAGTGGAACCATTGGATAATAAGGCTCTTGGTATCCCAGATTGCCTGAATCTTTATCTGGTTAAAGTGTTTAATCTCTAAATCCTGATATTTGGAGATATAAGCTCACCTGGAGTCATGAGAAAAAATGAAGCACTGACTTTAGTCTAGCTTGAAACAAAGTGGTTAAATACAGTTTAAAAATACTGTTAATATCGATCTTTTCACTTCTTATCTCAGTCTTTGTTAGTGTAAGTGTCTGGCCTTAAAAGAATATTTAATGAGTATTAGGGCTGGTTATTGTCACTCATTTCTATAATTGATTGACTCAGAAGGTCCAGATTCGATCCCCGATTCAATTCGATTCAGTTTCGACTCAGACAGTCAGAAATATTATAGTTCTGATCATTCATTAATACATGTCCACATTTGTATATCTGTGTATAAAAAGCTGACACTTCATCAAAGGTGTGAGCATCACAGCAGATGCCTTTGTGTCAAAGTAACTGAGGATAAAACACAGAAAAGCATGAAGGAGATTTTCCTGGTCTGGCTTTTTAAAGCAGACAACCGCCTTAAAAATATTCTGCAGTTGAACAAAAACGGAAGAAAACCATGAATCTGCATATAAACATTACCTGACGCTGCTGAAGTGAAGCAGAGCAAAGTTACAGAGAAAAAAAACCAGCGCTGTACATAAAACTGTACATAATGCAGAAAACAGATTTCAGATTGGAAACTGTTCTTGAAATAGAGTGAGAGAGAGAGCCGTGCAGGAAGTGTGATTTTTATCGCAGTGGAAGCAAAACTGTAAAGTAAGAGGGAATTCACGACGATGTGTTTCACACGTGAAGCGTAGTTTTGATCTTTTTTTTGCTGCCCATCAGTGAATTTTGGTCGGAAAGTGGCAAAACCTGCGACTTCAGAATCTGTTTGCTTTCAGCAGCTGACGGCGTGTCTGTGCGCAGATCTTCGGGCGAACGATCCGCGATTTGTGTTTACGTCTTTTCGCGGAATCCGTTCAACTGCTCTCATTTGCTGTTTTGTGGTCGTTGAAGTCATTTTGTGAGCTTTAAGCTGAGATTTTGTTGTTTCTGACAAAATACTTAAAAATAATTAAAAATCGAATCAGGATTTAATGACTCAATATCGCTTTATTCAAACAAAAATCGATTTGAATCGGGGAAATCGATTTTTTAAACCCTCCCCTAATGACTATTACTGAATGAATCCAGTCCTTTCTATAAGCCTCTCTATACCAAATGGGAATTTAAACCTCATTCTATGCATTAGCACTGAATATTAACTGACATACTTACTACATCATGTAATTCTATTAACTAAATGATACAACCAATTTACAAGTCCCTTCTGAGAAGTACAGGGGCAATTTCTTTGCTGCTGATTGTTACAACAAAAGAAAAGGTCATCTGCTCTTCTATTAATGACAGCAAGGTTTGTTTCCATATGGAGAGTGTAGCTTAAAAAACAAAACAAAGAAACATGAAGTGATACAAACTGTCGTGCAGCGATTAGCTAGTCTCCCTAATCGGTAAAACAACATTACCGTGTAGCTACTATGGGGCCTGTACACTCTTTCTACCAAGCAGCTTTCTTTCCACGTCTTTATATTTCAGTTCCCCTTTTCTTCATGTCAGCACCCGTTTTTCAATGATGTTTTGCAACCCACGATTCTGTTTTATTGTTTTTTTCTGTTTGCAGGGCCATCATCCAAACTCGTCTGAAAGTTTCTTGTTCTCTTCCAATCCAATAAAGTCACTGAGTGTGGAGTTCTGTGTGAGTGTGTGCAGTAATTAGTTCAGTGATGTGTTTCATGTCTTAATATTTCAGTCAGTCACCTTTGTCTGCAGGTTAGCCTCACTATGGCTATACAAGTATTCACATGTAGTGGGACCTCCAGGTCATGCATTGGACATCTCTGCTTTACTGAGGGCAATGGCCAGTTCCAGGTCCTCCTGTTCCTGCTGTCTGAGTCTCTTCAGCCGCTCACGTTCTGCACGCTCGCTTTCACGTTTAGCCCATTCTAACTGCTGAGCCTCGTTTCCAAACTGCAAAGAGAAAGATAGAGAGAGTGCGAGAGAGAGCGTTGAGATTTGCAGTATTGTGCAAAAGTCCTGTGCAGTCTTTCATTTCTTTATATTCTGCAAACAAAATGGAAAACAGATGAAGAGATTTATTGAAATGTGGAAACTTACTACAGTATATAAGTCAAAAACAGTTTGTGCAGTTCTAACCAGCTTGAAAGTTAATATTTGGTATGAACACCTTTATTCTTCGATACAGTCTGAACTCTCTTAGGCACCTTTCTTGTCATTTCTTCAAGTAGTCTTAAAGAATAGTTCTTAAAGCTTTCAAAGCTCTCAAAGCTCTGAAATGTGGATGCCAAACTGCTCCAGACTCTGGGGAGGCCAATAAGTGGCTGACAGCATTGATTGTTTTGTGTGTGGGACAGTGTGTGTGTTAATTGTCATGGCGAAAAAAAAACTAGCTGTCGCCAATCAGTTGCTTTCCAGATGGCATTTCATTGTGGATCAAAATCTGGTGGTTTTGCAGATAGCTGTAGAAGCTCACAGCGCCTTCTCCCATACTGGCAACCACTTGACTAAAAATTTCAGATCTAGATTAATCAGTCCATCACACACCGTTGCCACTGATTTTCAGTCCATTTCTTGTGCAATTTATCATACATCATGCTTTTATCCCTGTTCTCCTCAAGGGCTCCTAGACAGGCCCCCTTCACTGAGAAGATTTTTGATGAGGCTTCAGTGAATGGATGAACTGAAGAGCCAGATGTAGCCATCGGGTCCTGTGTTTTTTTCCAATTTTTTAAGGACTTGATTTTCAGATACTATTCATCTGCTGTAGACAGTGTATAGGCCTGCCACTTCTTATATAGTTGTCTATTTGTCTAGTCTCCTCAAATTCTCTGCGCACAATGTGAAGATATGCCAAATTTTCCACTAATAGCATTTTGTTGGTGTCAAAAAGATAATTTATTTCTGTCAAACTGTGTTGTCTGATAGGCTGCTAGTAAAAATTGGAAATGAGTAAAAAAGCAGCAAATGTCCAAAGAAAAACTTTGAAAGACATTCAAGAGGGGCTGAGTAACCCAATAACTTGCTCAAGACCACTTTAAAAAGTGTTGGTCCTTGAAAGCAAAAGATATAGAAATGAGGCACGGCTCAAGACTTTTGCACAATAAATCCTTGTTTTTGAAACAATTCCTTTTCCACATAACAAGATCAGAGAAGACGTAAGCTGTGGCCAAAAGAACACAGATTTGTCCATCCACATACTTAGACATGTGTCCAGTGTTTAAGTTTGAAGAGTTTCCAACTTGAACAGTAACAAAGTCAATTATCAAACATATCAAAAATTAGAGGTAATTTAGAACCACTGTCAGATTGAAAACAGGATACTGATGGATACTGATTGGATATTGCACATTCGGTTGGTTTAGTACAGGGGTCAGCAACCTTTCACACCCAAAGAGCCATTTGGAGTCGGTTTCCACGCAAACGAAAACACTGGGAGCCGCAAATACTTTTTGACATCTAAAATGAAGATAACACTGTATATATTGTTTTTTACCTTTATGCTTTGTGTGAACAACTAAGGTGTGTTGCTTATGAAATCCTTGAAGTGCTAATGAGAAAATTACATTTTATTTATGTAATTAACACATTTTGAACTCTTAAAGAAATATAACAAAAGGAAAGACGCCCAGCTGAACTAAAATAATCCAGCAAACAAAAACTGCTTTGAGCCGCCACCCTCATATCGCCTTTGGGCTTTTGGAGCCTTGACCTGACTTTTAAAAAGTAATTGGAAAAAAAGCACTATGCTGCTAAAAGATGAAAAATAGATATTTACAAAATTCTGCCTAAATATGTATTTTACCTGGTTAATGTGTGTGGCGGGGCGTGGTCTGCAGCGCCGCTGCAGGGGAGGCGGACGCACCTGAGCGGCACCCGCAATCACGCCTCGCCGCCTTAACGTCTGTGCTATCTATGCTGTTGTGTTGGTGTGTGTCGGGCTGTGAACTGAAAAGCTACAGCCGGCTGTATGCGTACAGCAACCGTGTGTGAAAAGTGGTCAATAAAGAGATGCTGAAAAGCATGTTCATGGAAACAGCGTCGGGTCTGCCGTGATATGTTTACAATGGAACTTCTGCTCCTGAACCTCTGCGCACAGCGTCTGCAAATCAGGGCTGTACGAAGTCACTTTCATCTTTACGCAGGACTGTAAGCTGTCATCTGTGAGGCGTCAGCGGTGTTTGTCTTTAACATTGTTCACAGTGGAGAACAGCTGTTGACATAATGTGGATCCGAAGATCCATAATTGGTCTACCTGGGGTTGAAAGTCTCGATAAATGCACGGCGTTTCGGCGGGTACACCGGCTTCCGCGAGTGTGACGCTTATTTTGAGTGATGAAAAAATAATAGAATATAATTGTATTTTTATATTTCAAAATCACAATAATCTTCCAATTTAGAACTACAAGTTAAAAAAGAACTAACATAAATAAATTACACTTCAGCTAAATACTTCTAATTTATTTTCCCAAACCACACGGAGTCGCACTATAAGGACTAAAGAGCCGCATGCGGCTCCGGAGCCGCAGGTTGCCGACCCCTGGTTTAGTAGAACTGACATGTATTAGCACTTGGATGCAGAACGATGCAAACATTTGGATGGAGGAACATCTGAACCACTCCAACCACTTAAGATTAAAACCATTTTCTGCTGAGGAGAAGCTTCTCAGTTACCATTTTCACAAACTAAGATTTTACAGAGGTACATCTTAACATCAAGTATTGAAAGCAAAATGTGCAAATTTGGTCTTTCTGGTTAAACTACAGTAAAGAAACAATAGTGAAATAAATCAAGAAGGAGAAGAAGAAATAAGTGGAACTTTAGAGGAGTAAAAATCTCAACTTTGATTTGATGATTCCAGATGAGAGAATTTTCATTGTAGTCTTGTCTAGTCAAAATAAAGTTGATTAGCCTTGAATGTTTGACCATCAGATGATCTGATATCAAGAATAAACCCAGTTGAGATGGTGTAAAACATTTTGACATGCAGATTGAAGAAAATGCATATGTGAGAAGTTTCAGGCGAGTGTGTAAATAGGTGACAAAGGAATACAAACTAGCATATGTGTCCAAACCTTTACCTAGTGATACCATTTTAAAAATCTGCTTGCAGGGTCTACAATAACCTTTAAAAGTAGCGACTCTCTGCCCTTTGTTATATGTATACAGCACTTTTCATATAATAAATTAAAAACAGTTTCTGTATTTTAGTTTAGCAACTAAAGCTCTTGCTATTACTGTACATCTGAAATCCTTGTCTTACTCTTCAACAAATATTCAACAACATTTTCAATAACACTTCCCAAATGATCATTTTATGTGAATGTAATAGTGCTTCTTACCTTGACTTTGTCAGGTCCTGTTAGAGAGTTGGATTATAGAACAGAGAAGTTAATAACCAAAAACACTAAGCTGGTTACACCACACAACAGCAAACAGACAATGTAAATGGATACTGGCCAAGTTTCTGTGCAGTCCATTTTGAAAAACTATTTTTAGCGATTTGTTAGTAATTTATTTTTAGATCAAGTGATTCTACTAGCATTCGAATACTAGACAGTTTATAAAAAATCATATAAAATCAGTAATTCTTAAACTGATAAAAGGTATTGAAGCTAAAGTAAAAAACTAAGACAGATGGACTGTGAAGAAACAGAATGCCAGTGAATCCCTTCAAGCAGGAATGTGTAACACAAAGATCTAAGCAAAGCTTAACAAGACCTCTACAAGAAAAGATGTGACATGCAGAGAGTGAGAGAAAGTAGATGACAAATCTGTATCTGAGTATTTTAAACACCATGTAAATGATGAGTTTTGGCAGATGTAACAGTCATCTACTAAAAGCAAAGTGTGCTATGCCTTTAGTAGATGACTTTTTAAAAAACTATTTTTAATTTAAGAAGGAAGTACAGGTCCTTGTGTTGGTGCTGCAGTTGCCTGATTTTGGAAAAGTGGAAATAAATGTTGTAAATCAAGTAGAACAGTCTAAAGCTAACATACTTTCATGTAAAGGTCCCCTTACCAGAGGGCTGGAATAAAAGTGTTGTCTGTAGTAGATTTAGTATAGTAGTTATACCAATATTAGATCCAAGAACCATTCAAATTTATAATGGTACATCATGGTTCAAATAATGTCTGGATGGCCAAACACCAAATACTTTACAAATTTTATATGAACTGTGATGTTTTTCAGGAGACATATGTCTTAAGTAAAGCGAAGTATTAATCTACAATTTAACGAGTAAAGCTGTGAATGTAGGTTAGGTTGCATTGACAGATCATGAGACACTGTTCTTAGCTGCAGTGTCAGGTTGAAGATAGACATGGAAGTAGATGCATGAGAATAATGAGAAAACCTAAAACAGTAACGGAAGACAAAGACATGCATTACAAGAATAAGCAGTTAATATAAAACACTTATCAAAGTAGTTTAACAAAGGCGGTAACATAGCAGCAAACATCAAGAGTGTGCAGGGCAGACAGACTCAAGAGCTGATAGTTGAGTAGTGATACTGTGGTGTCTCGTGTTCAATAGATAATTCCAACAGAAAATTTGAACTGAGTTGTCAACCAATCTGACAGAAAAGTTATTCCAGGCTTAAAATAGAATAAAAGGTGTTAGGTTATCTGGGGATTTAAAAATGGATTTGTGTTTGTTGTTCTAGTCTCAGTGACTCAATTAATTCAGAGTAACACTCGTGATAAAAACAGATCTACCACAACTGATATAACCCATTTGCCTCTGTGAAGGTCTTGGTAAACCCTGAAAACACCTATGATATTCTTCCTGCCAAAACAAAAAACCACACAAAGTGCTGACACCCTTTCCTGCACAACATGAAATTTAGACTCTCTGCAGTGCAGTTCTGCAAGCCTTACAGTGTCAATACCAAACTGTAATTTCTAAAGCCAGTTTATATAGTGCCATGGCAGAGGGTGGGGTAAATTTAAAGGCTTTGATTATTTGGTACAGTTAAAGTGGGCTTTTGAGATACTTAGATACAGACATAAATAGCTGTTCTGTAATTACACTTTAGTTCTTTTAATTAGAATTTAGATCTTTTCCAACAAAAATGAGGGCTATTAAGGATTCCTTTGATGGCTTCCAACAGTGGCAAACAAAGGTTTATAAGGAAAAACTCAGTTTTGAAAAACCGCAAATATTTTGGGATTTAGCAAGTCTTGTGTCTAGACTCTTCTGGACTCAGACCACAATAAGCCTGGCTTTACAAGATACAGGAGCCATCAAGCTGAAGGAGGAGTCCTATTGGGCTTGGATAGCATGTGGAACTCCGGTGACAGCTGCAACCCGGGCAGGAAAAACTTTGGTATGGGACAAGTTCAGTTGACCTGATGACACGCCTCTACAACACTGCTTGGTGATCCGAGGCAGTAACTCTGGATTAGCAGACTGGGGTGGTGGTTCCAATTTTTCAGAAGGGTAAGCGCAGGGTGTGTTCCAACTACAAAGGGATCACAATGCTCAACCTTCCAGGTAAGGTCTATGGCGGAGTAGTGGAAGGGAAAGTTCATTCGTTAGTCTCTTTATCATCTCAGGGATATTTGCGTTTGTGAGTTTGGCCCAAGTCTGCATGTGTTTTGTGAACCGGGGTTAAGGTCAGCTCTTCGTGGTGAAGAGAGAGCTGATGAAAGTGAAACTCTCAATTTAGCTCTCTATGTCCCTTTTCTAACCTGTGGTCATAAGTGATGATACATGCGGCAGAAATAATCTTTTCCGAAAGGTTGTTGGCCTCTCCCTTAGAGAGAGAGGGTAAGAAGTTCAGTCATTCCAGTGGAGCTCAGAATTCAGTGTGCTCACAATGAATAAGTTACCCTAACTTAGCTTTCTTAAAGGTTAAGAAGTGCTCACCCACCCCTACCCATGTTAACTACATTCTACAGTAGTACCATAGAAAGCATTTTGACTAGCTGCATCTCTGTGTGGTGTAGAGGCTGGAGAACTGCGAGTGGAGTGGTGAGGAAAGTGGAGAAAATCATCACAGCTGTCAGCCCTATTTGATCACTGTTCGAATACATATTATGGCAAGAACCATTCAGCTAAGTAAAAAGAAACAAGAGTCCATAATTACTTCAAGAACTGAAGGTCAGTCAGTCGGGAAAATTGGTAAATTGCTGGTGACACTCTTGGGGGTTATTCAAAACTGAAGCCACATTGAACCAGCATGGCTACCACAGCATCCTGCAGCAACATGCCATCCCAACCAGTTTGCGTTTAGTTGGACCGTCATTTATTTTTCAACAGGACAATGACCCAAAAACACACCTCCAGGCTGTCTTAGGTCTATTTGACCAAGAAGGAGCATGATGGAGTGCTGCACCAGATAGCCTGGCCTCCACAGTGTGCTTGATACAACACATCTCATTCACACATACATTCATACAAAGACGTTTGTCTGAGACTTGCTTTCTAGCATTTATACTCCGATGAACGCATCAGGAGCAACTTGGGATGCAATATCTTTCCCAAGGACACTCTGGGGTGTGGACTGGACCACCACCAACCTTCTGATTAGCAAATGACCTGCTGAGCCACACAACCAAATCAAAATGTAATGCTACCACCAGTCTGATTGTCAGAATACAATAAATTCTAACGGGCTGCCCAAAGAGCAATCAGACGAACTGGCTTCTGAAGGTTGCAAGAAATATCGGGCGCATTGTGAAATATATAAGATGGGTATCCATCCATCCATCCATCCATCCATCCATCCATAGTATATATATTAATAGTTTAATCATTCCATTGTTTAATTTAAAAACATGACTTTTTACCCTCTTATTCTAGTGTACCTCCCTTTAAGTACTTGTAAGTAAATATTATTAAATTCTATTTAATTACAGGGAAACTTCACCATTAGTCACAGTTCATATTATATAGTGTTATCACAGCTTTAACTTTCAGCAGCAAGAACACTTCTTTTATTATCTGTTGGTACAACTATTAATTACAATATTCGGGAAAAAATTTTCACCATGAGTGGCAGCAATTTATATGTGTGCATACTGTACTATATGAATGTGGTAACAGTGTAAAGACAGCATGCTCTTAAGATTTTCAGCTACAATTTGGGAGCTGTGAGGTGGTTAAAGAGTCTGTGCATTTATGAGAGAACTGTAATTCCTGTCATACGAAGAATAACAATGGATGACAGAGGACAATGCTAAGGTCATTTTGATGCTTACATTAAGCCTGTAAGGCATATAGATATAACTTTTACGGAGGTATAACTTGTGGATGTTTTTTTAAAGCTGTGAGATGTAAGTAACTATAGTAATATAGTTAATAATAGATCTGACGAATAATAATAAGAGTGCCAGATGAAAGAGGATAATGCTGGCTTTGTTTATTTATGTATTTGCTTTAGAAATCTTCTCTCTATATGTATAACATATGTTATACATATAGAGAGAAGATTTCTGCATGAAAGAGAAATTCATTTCTTTATTTCATTTTGAATGTCCATAGTGTCAACATCATTTACAGCTCCTGATAAGCAGCTCTAAATTTTGTTACCAGCTTTTTTTGTACACCTAACACACTGTCAGTCATCAAAGCTATAAAGTCCATCCATATGAAGAATGAAACATGGGGTGAAAGGCTATGTGGGTGTTGTTCATATGGTGAACGAACAACAGCTGTGCTGAATTGCTTTAAAGCTGCTGTTTAAATGGTCCTGAGAAACATACGACACAGTGACAACCATACACACCCAAAGGATGACGGGTTTTTGTCTCATTGGGATTCTAAATTACTGTACACTCTGCTAAGTCTTGTGCTTCAACAGCACTTTTGGCACTCATCAGTCTTCATCAGGATCCTTCCATTGCAGTAAAATGAAACCTTGTAATTGTGGTAGTGTGGCTCTTTGCACTGAGCTGTGACACCTGTTGTGCACACTGACAGTTAAACAGTATCACTCATCTCAACTTACAGAATTGAAGTCTGTAAAACCCAAAGTAGAGCCTTTAGTGGGTTTACTTGATGCTGAGGATGAGACAAAAGGGTCTTTGCCGCTGAATGGGTCTCCCAGGCCCTTTTTACTCTGAAAAGGGTCAATGACCTCGCCACTGAACGGTTTGAAAGGATCACAGGGTTTGGAAGAGTCAGATGAACCAGTCATGTTCACTGGTGTGGTCTTACCTGAAGACATAAAAGAATAAAGGAGGTAAATATCATAAAGAGAAGAGTTTTCCTTTCCAGGTTATTTCACCATCAACATCAAGTTTTAGTTTTGATTTTAAACCACAACAAAAGCTTGCTGACGAAAAACTGATACAAGCAACAGGATCATAGCACTGATATAACTTTGTCATGCGATAAAAATTTGAAGAACTACAAGAAAGTATCATTTAGACAAGCATTTACCTAAGGACTATTAAAAAGATGTCAAAGTGAAAGATAAATTAACTAGGTATACAGGTTGAGTGAAACCTGAGAGATGTCATGACTCATAAAAATGGCCAAGGTCAGATCACAAACAACTATGCTGACAACAAAAGATCTGATTTTGTGTGCTTTTCATAAAACCATGCATATTCAGAATCAGAATCAGAATCAGAATACTTTATTGATCCCTGGGGGAAATTATTTTTTGTTACAGTGCTCCATTTTAAACCAACATTAAGACAAGACAGACAATACACTAACTAAGAATAGTACAATATATACATATATATACATACATACATAAGTCACTCATAAATAAATAGTTGGAAAAGAAACATGTGTGTATTAAGAGCTGGTTCACATAGTTCTTCTCATGACCTGCTTAACCTCCAGTGTCACCTCAAAGTTACCTGCCAGCTTTGAAAGCCACACAAGTTTCACATCCACACACAGCACACTATACAATTCAAATCAGGTCCCAGTGCAAACCGTTAACAGTACTACATTCTCAAGAGAACGGAAACACATGAAAACAGCTGTCATAGGAAAAAACACAAGCAAAGGACCACACCCAGTAGACAAAAACCAAAAGTAGTGACCTATAACCCACAAAACGATTTTCAACGGTTTCCTAGTAAATCACTTGGTTTGCTTTCTACCCATGTTACCCAATGCTGGTTCCCCAATTTACCACCTAGATGAACAGACCAGTGCCCATGTTCAGAGAGTATGCATAATCAAAGCTGTTAAACTATACATTTAAGACTAGGGATGATTAGTTTCTTGTTAACTTAGCTCTGTAAAACATCATAATAATGACGCCGGGAGAGTAATTAAAAACATTCTCACACACATTTTTACTTGAAAACAGAAAGCAATTCTTTTTATTGAAATTATTCCATATTTAATTATGTTAACTTACTAGTTGTTTCACTTCTACAGAAATCATTCAGACTAAATATATCTGTTTTCTTAACTTTAAATTCGTTGCATACTAGGATCCTTGCACTGACTATTCAGTATAACTTTTGACTTCCAGAATAAAAAATGCACTGTTGTCCACGAGGACTAAACTATCCAACACTTAACACGATCTTCATTTAAAATGGCAGTTAATCAGTCTCAATAACGCAGTAATGCTAAACCACATGAGCAACCACAAAAACAAACAAAAATGCTAGTAGCAGCAAGGAGTGGAACTTGGGGTGGACAGGGGATCCTGGGAACATTAAGACTTCGTTAACTTGCTGTGGAGGTGCTAAACCACATGCATCACACAACACACACATATACCTTTAGTCCCATTACCCAGATAACCCCTGAGCAGTTATCTGGGTAATGGTGAGTTCATTTCACACTAAACACTGAGCAAAAGTGCACGCCTGGCGATCAGTTATTCCTCTTTCGATAAACTGCATACATGGACGCACACGCACACACACACTTGAGAAACCACAATTATGAGCTCCACCCTGTTTTAAAATATTTTGCTACACTTTTCACATCTAATTTCAATGTTTACCAGAAGATTGTACATGCAACATGCAGCATTTAATGAACCAAAAACAATATTTTGTATTTCACACAAATCTGCCCTCGGTTATATAGTTTACACTTCATTAAGCAATGAAAATAACAGAGAATAAACAGGTGTGAAGACGGGTTAGGTTTAGGATAAGGTAGAAAACGTAAAGACCATTAATTAAATATTTAAAGATATTGTTTAAGAAGTTCATAATATTAATTAATATTGTTAACTTCTTAAATTGCAAAAGAGTTTTGATGCTTTGCCACTGCACACAGCTTGCAGTCTAAAGAATGCCCTTCTCTGAACAACTCACCCACACATAAATACTCGCGTACAAACACATCAAGGAAAGAGAGAGGAAGTATGTCAGGGTGTGTCTGCAAACAACAGGCCAACCAAACCACACATCATGTCTCTTACGACATCACCTTCACATGTTCATGCACACAAACAACACAGCATTTGTAAGCAAGGATGAAATCTACACAAAAACCCAAGACAGTAGATTAAGGTGTCAAAGATAAGAAATGAATCAATAAATGCATTTTTTTCATGAATACTGGAGGTTGTTTTGTTTTTTTTAATCTTTTTAGCTTCATGTATTGTTTATTTACTATCTGCCATTCCTTATAATAAATAGCCCTAACTGATGTTTCTGTATTAAACTGTGTTACCATTTCATATTATATAAACACAATTCATTAGATTTCATTTTATTTTTAATAGTTTAAGCTACTCTTTCTAAATGGCTTTATCAGTGTCACTGCCTGATCCATATTGGAAACTGAATTTCTTGTGTCTCTCATTTGAAAGCGATATTTTTCTTTAAATTTTCCTCTCAAAAGCAATGTTATATGGAACCGTAGGCTAAATTGTACTTGTTTTTTGTAAAGACGTCATCTTTGATTTTAAGGAGGATTGTTTTTATTCCAGGTAATTTCTTCACTGTCTTTTTATGTGTGAAAGAAAGCACGATTTGAAATCATGCCTGATGTTGATAACTAGACAAACGGATGGATAAAATGTGTTTAGTGTGGCTTTAAAAATACAATGCTTGTAAAGTTATGGAGAGCTGTAATTACGGGCATGGCAGTGATGCGGAAATCACACTTAGTAAAACCCCAAATTTATGCTGGTTTGAGATATAGGAGCTAAAGTCCCACTTCCTTTTTGGTGTTCAGCCTCACTCACCACAGTAGATTCTCACAGACATTTTTGTTAGTCTTCACTAAAAGATTCAAATTCTGCCCAGGTGTTCTTTACCAAACGAAAACAGTTCAGGTCAAACACCTACAAATAATAGTATTAACAGTATTCTTGTATAATTCTGGCACCTTTCTAGGCCACCTCAAAAGCCTACACAGTGTGACACTCACCACTGGGTGGTTTGGGTCTGGGGGGAACACTTTTCTTTGGAGGCAGAGCCGGCATGTCATTCTTCCTGCTGAATGGGTCATCCACAAACACTGGCTGGAAAAAATTTGAGAAAAGGAATGTGTCATTTTGAAACAGAATCATCATGCTGAAAAAGAAATACAGGCCATTAGAGTTCTGAGTCTTTACTTCTTAAATATGATTAACAACAGCATCACATGAACACCATCTAGAATTGGAGATTATCTATCGGAATTTCAGGAGTGGGACCACGTCTCCAAACACGCTCCTTCTGGTTGTCAACTATATAGGTTCCCCCAGTTCTGCAAGCTGTTCATTCTCGTTTACGTGCCCCACCCTCCCTCCTTGTTCTCAATTCTTTAACTTCTTCACTCCTATTTAGCACACGGGGATCTGCCAGGCCCGGGAGCCGTCGCCAGTCCCCTTCGATGCCTTCCCCAAACCGCAGCTCAATTCATGTCATGCATACCTACTAAAACGCTGTCAAACCTAAAATGAGGAAGTGGGCCCAGCAAGTGAAATACAGTGGGGCAAAAAAGTATTTAGTCAGCCACCGATTGTGCAAGTTCCCCCACTTAAAATGATGACAGAGGTCAGTAATTTGCACCAGAGGTACACTTCAACTGTGAGAGACAGAATGTGAAAAAAAAATAATCCATGAATTCACATGGTAGGATTTGTAAAGAATTTATTCGTAAATCAGGGTGGAAAATAAGTATTTGGTCACCTCAAACAAGGAAAATCTCTGGCTCTCACAGACCTGTAACGTCTTCTGTAAGAAGCTTTTCTGTCCCCCACTCGTTACCTGTATGAATGGCACCTGTTTGAACTCATCATCTGTATAAAAGACACCTGTCCACAGCCTCAAACAGTCAGACTCCAAACTCCGCCATGGCCAAGACCAAAGAGCTTTCGAAGGACACCAGGAAAAGTATTGTAGACCTGCACCAGACTGGGAAGAGTGAATCTACAATAGGCAAGCAGCTTGGTGTGAAAAAATCAACTGTGGGAGCAATCATCAGAAAATGGAAGACATACAAGACCACTGATAATCTCCCTCGATCTGGGGCTCCACGCAAGATCTCATCCCGTGGGGTCAAAATGATCATGAGAACGGTGAGCAAAGATCCCAGAACCACACGGGGGGACCTGGTGAATGACCTGCAGAGAGCTGGGACCAAAGTAACAAAGGTCACCATCAGTAACACACTACAACGGCAGGGAATCAAATCCCGCAGTGCCAGACGTGTTCCGCTGCTGAAGCCAGTGCATGTCCAGGCCCGTCTGAAGTTTGCCAGAGAGCACATGGATGATACAGCAGAGGATTGGGAGAATGTCATGTGGTCAGATGAAACCAAAGTAGAACTTTTTGGTATAAACTCAACTCGTCGTGTTTGGAGGAAGAAGAATACTGAGTTGCATCCCAAGAACACCATACCTACTGTGAAGCATGGGGGTGGAAACATCATGCTATGGGGCTGTTTTTCTGCCAAGGGGACAGGACGACTGATCCGTGTTAAGGACAGAATGAATGGGGCCATGTATCGTGAGATTTTGAGCCAAAACCTCCTTCCATCAGCGAGAACTCTGAAGATGAAACGAGGCTGGGTCTTCCAACATGACAATGATCCAAAACACACCGCCCGGGCAACAAAGGAGTGGCTCCGTAAGAAGCATTTGAAAGTCCTGGAGTGGCCTAGCCAGTCCCCAGACCTCAACCCCATATAAAATCTGTGGCGGGAGTGTTGCTTGGCGACAGCCCCAAAACATCACTGCTCTCGAGAAGATCTGCATGGAGGAATGGGCCAAAATACCAGCTACTGTGTGTGCAAACCTGGTAAAGACCTATAGTAAACGTTTGACCTCTGTTATTGCCAACAAAGGTTATGTTACAAAGTATTGAGTTGTATTTTTGTTATTGACCAAATACTTATTTTCCACCCTGATTTACGAATAAATTCTTTACAAATCCTACCATGTGAATTCATGGATTTTTTTTTCACATTCTGTCTCTCACAGTTGAAGTGTACCTCTGGTGCAAATTACTGACCTCTGTCATCATTTTAGGTGGGGGAACTTGCACAATCGGTGGCTGACTAAATACTTTTTTGCCCCACTGTACATTACTGTGCAAAGGCTTGAACCAACGCTGATGAGGCTTCAGCAATGGGTCAACTGAAGGGCCAGATGCATTTCTCAGGCCTCGTGACACGTATTTGTTAGTTTTCTTCGTATTTCCTAAGGACGTGAGTTTCAGATACTGGTCAGCTTCCTACCAGTATTGGGTTTTTTTGACCAGCCACTTGTTTTTGTCCTCCACTTTTCCAGTTCCCTAAAGCCAAGGTATGGCAAGTTTTATATAAGTAAAACTGTTGAATCGTTGGGATTCGTGAAATTAGGCTAAAGAAATTGGAACAAATGGTGTGTTTTTGTGACAGGCTGCTAATAACCTGCTGACAAAAACATTTCCAAGTGTTATGTGTTGAGTTAGGTCAGTGTTATGTGGCTTAACACATAACACAGACCTACAGAGGAAACACTCCTCTGAAATTCATCAGGTACAAGACTGAAACTCGACTGAAAATAAGGGGAAAACTAAAAAAAAGAAAAAGAAATAGTTTAAGGCTTCAAAAAGCCTGGAAAACTATTGTTAAAACCACTTAAAGAGATCAAACAAAGTCTGGAAGAAAATATAAAGGAATCAGCGATAGCTAATTTAAATTCAATTTCAAATCAGTTTTATTCATATAAGGTGCTTTATATTGTAAAGACCCTACAATAATATAAAAAACAGAGAAAACCACAATAATCATATGATTATTATGATATGTTATTGTATGTATGCCTTCTGATGATACTGCCTAAGGGAAGCATGTGTAATGTAAATGTAATGGAAACTGTGGAATAACTAACCTTAGTGTGTAAACAAACATAAACAAACTGAAGTCTATATTAGAGTCTCAATATCAATGGTACTGAAAGTAGCTGTACATAATGATACGTCTGTGGGTTAAAAAATGCTTGGCTCAACAGAGTTCTGACCTTCTGTCAGCCTGGCTGCAGTGCTGAAGGAAAACTTTGTTGTTTTCTTCGATCAGTGATGAATTGTAAGTTCAAGCTTTACAGAGGGCTTTTTTATTGTCTGAAACAGAACAAGACTTGTTCTAAATCAGATAAAAAGTCTGAGAAATCAGTTGATGATAGATAAAAAATAAAACTGGCTGTTGAGTTTTCCGAATAAAGTGGACAAGGAAAAGCATCAGGCTTTCAAATAAATTATTCTAGTAGTGTGCTTTGGATGAACAAACACCACTGTGCATTGTAATAGGAATGGAGAGAGCCAACACCCATAAGGGAAGCACAGTACTGTTTAATTTATAAAAAGTTTACAAAAGCTATCACTAAAAAATTTTAAAAAAAAACCTGGCAGCTGCCGGTTCTACCCCCTCAGCCTCCTAGTAGACACACTTATGGTATCAATTTAAAAATCCTAAGCTACTTGAGTAATCACATTCACAAGATTGACAGAAAACTTGAAAAATGTTCACTTTTACCATTACAATACAGCATTATTGTAATGGTTTAATTGATTGATTTAATTTTGTCAATATGTTTTCTTTCAGAGCCCATGTAATGAGTGGGATCTGGATATATTTGGTAGAGGGTTTATTTTCAAGATCAGGTTCACCTCCCATACCTTCTGGTAGTCTGGAAGCCAGGTGGCCCTTCCTTCAAAAGGGTCTCTGGACTTCGACATGTGGCTGAAGTCTGCAAATCCAACAGAAGTGTTACTGCTGTTGAATGAACTGCTGCCAAACGGGTCCAGTGTGCCAAAGAGGTCTGAAAATGACACAGTTACACTGAATTTATATCAACAATCTCAATGTACCTGGAAGTATTAGGTAGGGCTGGGATCACATATTTCCAGATTTTCTATATCTGCCAGGATACCGTTCACACTGTTATAAAATTTTATTGATGCTCCACATTCCCAGTTTACATTAACTACCTTAACCTTTTTTCAAAGCCATCATCAGGTTAAATTGCTTTGTTAAGATGAATAGATTTAGAATGAAGAAATCATGCTGTGTTGCAGTCTAGATTTTCAGGTTTAATTAAAAGGGTTTAACAGAAATATGTTTCCCAGTCACCTGCCTCCTAGATCAATCTGATTTGTTGTCAGTATGTTGTTGATAGTACATATCAACAGGAATTTTCAAAAATATGAATATAAAAGGTTTATCTGAAAATGTAAACGCTAAAGAAACTCAAGTCTGCACAGCACCAGAAAAGCTTTCAACTTTCTGATAAAATAGAAAGATAGAAGTAATAGAGAAGGAATAGAAGGGCATACAAAACCAGGCAGTCATATCATAGGTAGACTGTAAGTGGAATTAGACACTAGTCTTTACTCATAATGTGAAAAAGCAGGATGAATTCTGAAATTTGCGTGAAAAGGGAAAGACCATCTCTGAATCGAGGAGGGGGCCTAAGGGTACATCTGTCACCATCTTACAATGCTGTGATTGAAGCCATTCCCTAACTCTGCCAATGGTACAGAGAGTACCATTGATCAGTGGGATTAAATCTGAGTTATTAAGTGGACTTGGAGCATTGGGTAAGCAACATGACACATCTTCTGTACAACCTGGGTTTTAATAGGCAAATTAACATGGTGCTCTTCAGCTAAGTAAATAAGTGTGGTGAGAGGCTCAATTTGCTTCAATCACTGTGACAGTCAACTTGACCCATAGAACAAGCATGTTTGTATAGACTACACTCATATCTCAGCAGAGAACACACAGTTTACTGAAACAGGTCCAATGGATTCATAAAGGTTTGTTAAAACATGTTTGTGTCAAAAACAAACACTAAACTGAAAAAAATTCCAAAATTGACTCCAAGCTAAACTCAAAATAGAGCTTAGGTCTGCTGTACAATGGTGTATCTGGCCAAAACTGTCCTTTTTGGATATTATACAGCACAGAGAATAACAAGTTCTTTTATTCTGTGGTTACAAAAACTACACGATGTCCAAAGCTATTGAGGAGGAAGTATTAAATCATACCTGATCCTTTAGGTTTTTGATGGCTTGAAGAAAATGGGTCACTGCTTGTGAAGGTAGTAGGTTGCTGCATAAAACAGAAATGAGAGAAATATATACAAAAGAATACAACGTTAATTGAAAATGTATTCTAACTACAATGTTTATTGAGGGGGTTTTCCATGTACTTATTAATGCATTAATTATTATTGGTCTTTTTGTTTGTTTATAATGCTGGAGTAAACTCTACAGTGGGTGCAACTGAACCAGAAATCTCCGAGGTTCTTATGGAAACCTTCAATCTAAATGAAAATATAAATTAATATAAATTGACTGTTGTTTGTATTGACGATTGTAAAAACTGAGATCTAACGCTAAAATAGAAACAGAGGGAGCAAACTAAACATTCTGATCCCTTCTTGGGATAACCAGATATACATTACAAATCCACCTTTGAATCTCAACAAGTACCTTGGAGGGTAAAGTGGCACTTTTACTGAAAGGGTCTGGACTGGAGAAGGGATCCATCTTTGTGGTTTTCTTGAAGAAGTCTTCTGATGAAGCCTTGAATGGATCTGTCTCTTTGAAGGGGTCTCCTCCAAATGGATCTACAGCAGAAATGAACTTGAGCTACTTAAACTCTGTTTCTTAAAACTTTCATTGACCAGAGACATATGCATGTGGTACAACATATACAGTTTTGTCCTGCTGAAACATGCACAATCTGCAGTGCTCAGACAGAAGAGTTGAGGGGCCAGCTTCACTGTGGCTGTCGGATGGGTACACCAGGGACATTTCCGTGGTGAATTAACTATGGCAGCTTCCATTCGCACCATCCAGCTCCAGATACAGTGCAGAGCCAGGCACAGTGATGTGTGTAGCCACTTGTGGGAACGTGGTTTTTGACTGTCATGGCAGCCTGTAGCTTCTCTGCTGCACAGTGAAGCTCGGGAAAAAAGCGAGTCCCGTTGTATTGGCCAGCTACCGCAGTGCATGCATGCGGATTCCCTACAACCCAACCAGAATTCTGCCTCCCTCAGATTTCTTTCTTTCTTTCTTCCTTTCTTTTGTTCTTTCTTTATTTCAATCAATCCATCATTCCCAGCCACCACAATGGGCAAGACCAATGAGCTGCCAAAGGATGATAGGGACAAGACTGAAGACTTGGTAAACAAGACCATCAGCAAGAAGTTTGAAGAGAAGGGGAAAGCTGTTGATGTGGTTATTTGGAAACGAACGAAACATAAGATTATCATCAATTGCCCTCAGTCTGGAGCTTTGTGCAATATGTTGCCTCATGGTGTGAGGATGATCATTTGACAGGTATTGGATCAGCCCAAAACTGCATGGGAGGAGCTTCTTAATGATCTGAAGGCAACTGGGACCTCAGTCTCCAAAAAACACCTCTGGTAAGACACTACAATGTAATGGATTGAAGTCTTGCTGACTATGACCCCTAGAACACCATCCCCATGGAGTTGGAAACATGCCTTGGGGTTGTTTCTGTCCTAAGGGTACAGGACTTGACCACATTAAGGGGCCAGTGGACAAGGTCCTGTATCCCCTTTCCTCAGACGGAACACTGCAGATGGGTCTTCCAACATTATGCAACTAGCCAGTCTCCAGACCTCTAGCATCTATCTGTGGAGGGAGCTAAAACTTTGAGTTGCCAAGCTGCAGTCAAGAAACCGCAAGGATTTAGAGAGTAGTACGTCATGTTTTGCTTTGGGATACTTACTTCATTCAATGACTCATACAAAAAAAATTTATAACTTTTGTGTAATGTTTTTTTCCTGGAGTATTGCCTGATATTCTAAGTGTCAATAGTAGCAAGTTCTTTAATATTTATATGCATATTTATATTAATACCTCTGTTTCTATACTCATTTTATATGAGTGCTTGATGTTTGCTGCTATCACGACTCAATTTCCCTCTGGGATTAATAAAGCCTCTCTGATTCTGAACAAAGATTAGAGAGTGTTCATTCTTTTGCAAGTGTGAAAGTTACAAATTGACCAGGGGCTCAAATATGTTTTTTAACCCACTGTATGGCTAAGTCTAGCCAAGTGTAAACAAAAGCATCAGCAGATAGGCATCATAAAAACATCAAACCAAAGCATGGACCAAAAGGTCAAAACAAACACAGTAAGTATTCCAAGAAGTACTTGGAAAGAGCTCTGAGTAAGTAAATATAATCAATGAGTTGGGAGGTTGTTTTGGGATTTTTTTTTTTTTTTATTGAGGTAGTCTCTCTATGTTTAAAAACCTATAAGAAATGCAAACGGCTTACAAAAAAGTGCTTCTATGAGGGTTGTGGTGGGAATGTAATTTGTGTTTCTGCCGGTCCATGTAGTGGGAATGTACTCAAGCTGAGTAGAAAAGTGTCTACTCAAAGGTACAGCCCATTTAATATTTCAGTAAAAAATACACACTTGTGGTTGTAAAAACAACCCCCCCAAAAAATATGCTACATGATAGATTTGTAAGGTACATTCCATGCGAATTATTGTAATTCATTTAAGGAAAAAACATGCATGCATTCTAGTAAATGCTAAACCTGTTCAATGTAGTGTGCACAACAGTTTTAGTGCAACATTTTAAGTGATGAAATATTGCAGTTTATTTTCTGCCCCAAGATTAAATTACCTCTCAAAAAAGAAAAATTATTAACCTTTCTTCCCTGAAGTAAATACCTGTGGGTACTGGAGGCTGCTTTGCAAAAGGATCATTCTGAAAAGGGTCGCCTACAGGAGAGGAATCAAGCAAAGAGGGAAAGGCAGGAAGAAGACAAAAGACAGTCATAAATTAACTCAAGCTGGAAAATATAAGCTACTAGGAGGAAGACAACTTAATACACATAAAGCAGTAAACGCAGATTGAGGAGTAGAGAAGAGGAGAGAGGAGAAGAGCGCGTAGAAGGGATGAGACCACTTACCAGGGCTGGATCTTAATGACCATAAATATTCAAAGGATTAAAAAAAACCAGTTCTTTTAAAATGAACTGCTTGCTGGATTCTGAAACTTCTGTGTTTTTAATCATTTGACTGCATACAAGATCCAGCAAAAGAATTAAAAACCCTCTCATTGTATTTGTATTAGAATCAGGTTTTTTGAAGAAAACATTTCATTAAATGCAAAAATAAACAAATATAGCAATGCCAAATAAAATAAGTCATACACACAACTTAAACTAAGGTATAAAATAAAGTAGTTTTTACTCTGTACTCTTGGGAGGCTTCCTTACATTAAGAGGAGCCAAAAACCTCTGATTATTATATCTTCTGGTTGACGTAGATTTGATGTGTATTCATTCATTTATAGACATCCACCTTATTACATTCTGCACTGGGGAAATTCACTTGTTACAGCAGCACAGGGAACAGGAAGAAAAGGTGAATCAGAGTTATATTAAAAAAATTTAAAAACCCAAAATACGATACTATGGGCAGGTGATGGGCAGGTTGCTATACCACCCCTGGTTACTATACAGCAGGATTTTTCATTTTTATATCTACATAAAATGCAGTGGGATAAACAAAATACATGTATTTTTAAACACTATTTATCCTGTGTGGGTACTGTATAGTCCATCTGCTGTTTGGATGAAGGACCTACAACGGCCCTCAGACCTACACCATAACAGTCTACTGCTTTAGGAGCTGCTCCACAGTGCAGGGGGTGAGTGGTGCTGTACATAAAGGACATTAGTTTGGCTAACATCCTTCTTTTGGCATCATTATGAAGGTCAAGGTCAAATGCTTGGGCAACCTAGATACTCATGTCCCCCAAGGCCTAGTATATCAATGTGAAATTGGAAGAATATCCATAAAAGATGGTTTTATTTGTTTTCTCAATACAATGCCCTACGATGTCATAGTAATGCCATGAAAGGCTGACATCGTCATATTGTAACACAAACAGGCTGACGTCAGAATGTTGTAATAAAAACATAAAAACATCTACGTTTTTGTACAGCCCTTGGCCTTTGGGGGGAGTTGCACAAACTGAGTGCTCTTGTTTTAACTTCTGTAACTTGACTGTGTCATGACTGTGGATGAAAGGAGCAACTATAAAGTTTGCTTTTATTCATGTTCAGTCAAAGAGGTGCTTTGATTAAAAACTCAGCTTTTTCCCAGTAACGTGTTTTATGGCAATTACAGTAACAAACACTGCTGGAAAACTGGAAACTAGAATAAAGTCTTTTTTCGCTCAACCTGAGCTCACGGTCTCTATGGCAACTCTGACAGCATTGCCACTGATTATTGATCATTATCACTTCCACAGTCAACTGTCAGTTTTATTATTGGGATGTCAGCAACTCGGGGTGAGCGGATGATGAGGCACATAGTAGACAGAGGTCGCCAACTTTCTGCAGTCAGTTGCATCAGACCCCCAAACTTCAAGTACTCGTCAAATCAGATCAAGAACTGTGCATAGAGAGCTTCATGCAATCTATTTTCAAAGCTGAGCAGCAGCTTACATGCCTTGCATCACCAGATGCTGTGGTGTAAAGCCCACTGCCACGGGACTCCACAGATGTTCAAACAACATCATTTATCAAATCAGTTTTCAGAAAGACAGGTGCTGCCTATACTGTATCATGCTGAGATATTTGTGGGTTGCCGCTGACAGCACTAACTGTTGCCTGCTGTTTAGCCTGCAAGTTGTTGCTCACCACAGTCACCAGCCTGCCACTCTTCACCTAAACCCATGCCCACACTTTGATCTTCATGAGGGCTGGATGAACTTCATCACCAGAGTCAAAAGTTATCCGGTTTACATGGTGTATAAACCATTGTTGTACTTAACTTTAAAAAATATTGTAATGGGTCACTCCAATACATAAATGCCTATATTAAAAGAGACTATGTGTTGTAGTCTCATGTCGGTATTACTGTAGGGTCCACCTTACAATCTAAAATGCCTTGAGGAGACTGTTGTTGTGATTTGGCGTGATCCACACACTCATCAATCATCTTTAGACACTCATTCACCCATACTCCCAACATGCAGTGCAGTAAAGAGAGGAGAGGATAGCAGAGGAGAGGAATAAGCCACTTGTATTAAAAGATTAAGAGGAACACTTAGAGATGGTGATGCAGTGAAAGTTAAGGGGGATGACAACCTTTGAATGGGTCTGTTTTGAAGGGGTCTTCAGACTGGAAGGGGTCAGTGGGAAGCCCCTGAGGTTGACTGTTAAACACAGATGGCTTCACTTTGAATGGGTCCTCCTGTGGAAATGAGAAAGCCAAAGAGAGAGAGAGAGAACAGAAGCTTTTATCATCTCTTCTGCTGTGGACAAACAGAATATTTAGATATGTATGCATGATATGTATAGGTTTTATTTCATTTGTTGTATTTGTACGAGTAATGTGAGCACATATCATAACATATACATCCATGGGATCAGATTCACTACAGCTTTATGCGTTCTGTCACACAAGCTGTATCTTTGCTTGTCAAAAACAATATAACACTTGGTTGCATATGCATTTAATAGAAGGTCATGTAAAATTTAAGAAGGCATATGAATGAAGTTTGCTTAAATACTTGTGATGGCATACAAGATGAGTTAAAAAGAATTAAAAAGAAATCCACACTACAATTGTGAATATGGAACTTCACAAATGAAAAAGGTAACAACGATCGGGCACAACAAACGAGCACCAGGTCTACCCAGGACTATAAAACCAAATCCTATGACCTTAATAAATGTTACACAGCACACTGGAAAATAAAAGCACACCTCTATCAAAGATCCTGACCTGTACTGCTCTCACCATGGCTGGAAATCCTCCATTCTCTCGGTCACTGAAGCCTTCACTCATGTCAGCCAAGTTGGTCATGCTGCCTCCATGGTTTCCATTCAAGGTGCTGTTGTACTGCTCAATGCTTTTAGACACTTCCTGTTGACTATCTTGAATCTGTGACAGCTTGCTGCGAGCCTGCAAGGTATACATACAAGCAAACCGTTAAAAACAACAACATTTCCAGAACATTTCCAGTGACACTGGGCTGGTGTGACACTGGTATAACATGTTCCTCTGTGTGAAATTCTCATTTAAATCATACAGTAAAAGTGCAATAAGTTGAGTTAATTTAAAATGAATAGAAATTACTGAAAGTTTGCTTCCAGGAAACACTGATCAGTTTCTTTAAGCTGGTTTCAAAAAGCTTTTTTTGTCTTAAATATGTTTTCCTCATTACGAGACAGTTTGGCCAAGATGAAAGGCATTGTCTATTATATACACACACACACACACACACACACACACACACACACACACACACACACACAAGCACAGAAATAATGTTTTTTGGCATAGCTATGAAAAACACTGCTTAGAGCAAAAAAAAGGTTTCCACTGAAATTGTACAAATATAATACAAGAACTGAATTCAACATCAACTTGTGGATGTTATAAAACAATAATGGAAACTGCACTATGTGTGTGTGTGTGTGTGTGTGTGTGTGTGTGTGTGTGTGTGTGTGTGTGCGCGCGCGCGCACAGTGGCTGGCAGGAAACAGAAGACACACCACACCACAGCAGCTGAGACAAACATACACAATTGGTTCCTCTGACTTAATTGACAAGATAAAGAAATGGATTAAACATTCTGGTGGTGCCCCCTGTTGACATTCTTTAGACATACACATTAACAGGACCTATGCCCTACCTGGTTGATCTCATCCTGGGTTGCTTTCAGAGACTTGATGATGGTCTCTAGTTGAATCTTGCCTGCGGCCAGGCTTTGCTCCAGCTGATTCTCCTCTTGTTGCAGCCGGCCCAGGTCAGCCTTGGCCCGGCTCAACTCTTCTTCCTGGTTTAGCAAGTCTGACTCCTGGGAGTGGATTTGAGTCTGGAGGCTTGAGATCTGAAGGCAGAAAACGGTGGCATAAAGAATTGGGTCAGAGGTTAAAACCTGCCAAGAGACCACTCTGTGCTCGTTGCTAATTATTTTACATTAATCTGTTTGATTTCTTCTTTTCTTCTATTTTGCATCATGCTAGTTATCTCAAGGTAATTTTGACTTCAACAAACAAACACTGAAAACAGCATATTAGAAATTGAATACATTAATTTTCAGGTATTTTGATTCTGTGATTGTTGTAGAATAACTGAGGCAGTACTCCACAAAGGGGAAACTTCTACATTATCAGCATCCTTCTCTCTCGCTCTTACCATCTGAGACTCTTCCTGGCACTTAATCCGGACTTCATTCAACATGTCTTCTAATTTGTGTTTCTGCTGGTCCATCTCCTCCAGCCGGTCCTGGGCATCTTGTTTCTGAGCTTCTAACTCCTGCAGGCTGGTTGTCTCTCTGTCCAGGTCATTCTGCATTTCCTGATAGACAATAACAACTGTTGTTGTGATTTGGCGCTATATAAATAAAATTGAATTGAATTGAATTGAACTGAACTGAATTGAATTCCAGATATGCTGCCCTGTACTTCAACAAAACTGGGCTGGGTGAACACATTCCCTGATACCTCATTATATTTGCTGGGCTTCAAATTTCTCTGAGTGGATTGCAATAGAGATCTTTCTGGGAAAGCTAGGAGAGGGAGAATGTGCTTCTATATAAATGAAGGTTGGTGTCACAGCGTTGAAAAAACCACAAACCCTCATATATTGTATATATACACACACTTGATCAATAAAGCTGATTCTGAGGCTAACAGCTCTTTGGGAACCACCTTGTTAGTTCAAAATTACAATTCTACACATGTTAAACTGTGTTGTTTTTGGACATTTTGTAGATTCACCTAATAACATGGGAACAAATTATTTCTCTTCGTAACAAACTGATAGTAACAAAGTACCTACAGATACAATTTAAAATTGGTTCCTTTAGTTAGGTGCTTTTTTTTAATCCTTGAATGACTCATAGTTCAGTGTTAAGTGGCTGAACAAATAAAAATAAATATTCCCCTGAAAATGGTCAAGAACTGTACTGAAAATGAGTAAAAATGCAGTCAATGTTCAAAGAAAAACTTTAAAAGGCCTTGAGAAAGCCTATACAAGTACTGCTCAAGGCCAATTTAAAAAAATAAATAAAACATATTACAATATAAAGAAATGAACGGTGGCTGAGTATTATACACGTACATCAAGGACAGAGTGTCTCAATTTTATGTTGAGTCCACATCCAGTTGCTACCAACTGACAAAAAACAAGCTGTCCTCACCTGCACCTCGGCACTCTTATGTCTGATAGCCTCCTCTGCTTCCCTGATGTCCTGCTCAAGAGTGTACTTCTCCCTGGACAAAACCAGAAACATTCACACAAACACAGGCACATTGATTTTCTTATTTTAAAGGTTTATAATATGTATATAAAATAATTACAGAATAAGAATAAATAAATGAAAAGTGTATTTCACTGGTGCCAATTTTAAAAAAAACTTTGTGTGCAACTTGACAGAAGAATCATATAAAAGGTATTTTTATTTCCCAAAACAAAATAAGCACATCTATGTCTGGCAATGGATTCAGGTCAGGCCAATGTGTTGTTACATGAGGCCGGGCATTGTCAGGCACCATGAGGAGCCACGGACCCACTATACCATGTCTGATAATGGGTCAAAGGATTTCCTACTGATGAGTAATGGTAGTCAGGGTGCTGTTGCCTAGCCTGTAGAGGTCTATGCATCCCTCCATGGATGGATTTTGCACTTAGACTGCAGGCTTTCTAGAGTATTTAAATGTAGAATGGGACGCAGAGCCTTCAGCTTTCAGGCCCCTGTCCTGTGGAACCAGCTTCCAGTTTGGATTTGGAGGGAAGACATCCTCACTACTTTTAAGATTAGGCTTAAAACTTTCCTTTTAGATAAAGAATACCGTTAGGGCTGGATCATGTGACCTTGATACTTCCCTTAGGTTGCAATAGCTCTAGGAGGCTGCTGGGGGATTCCCATGAGGCACTGAGTTTTGCTGCTGGGGGAGTGTTTCCTCTTCACACTTTTTTTTTTTCACTTACTATGTGTTTAAACAGCTCTCTGCATTTAATTATTAGTTATTATTAATGTCTGGCTCTCTTACACAGTGTGTCTTTGACCTGCCTTCTTCCCCTAACCCCAACCAGTCGCAGCAGATGGTTCTTCCTTTTATAAGGGGTTTTTCTATCCGACTGTCACCAAAGTGCTTGCTCAGAGGGGGTCATTGTTGGGGTTTTCTCTGTTTACTTTGTATTATTGTTGGGTCTTTACTTTACAATATAAAGTGCCTTAAGGCAAATTTTGTTGTGAGTTGGCAACACATAAATAAAACTGAATTGAGCTGAACTGGACATGCCTCTCATCACCATTGTTGACCTACTCCTAAATTAAACCTGCTCCCATCTATGAAAAACATTGGACGTCAGTGGTGGACCTGCAATTCTGGTATTCTGTGGAAAATGCTCTTCGGGCTCCGTGGTGCTGGGCAGTATAGGGCCTACAGCTATTGTATTGATGCCCGTTTCTGATTGTGTGGTCAGAGATATTCACACCAGTCCTTTTGTAGGGCTCATCCTGTTCCTCCTTGCACAAGGGAGCAAACGCCAGTCCTGCTGATGGGTTAAGGACCTTCTTTAAGCCCGTCCAGCTTTCCTAGAGTAACTGCCTACCATCTAGAATCCTCTCCATGTTCCTGGAACTGTGCTGGGAAACATAGCAAACCTTCTGAGAAGGGCTCATATTGGTGTGCCATCATGGAGGAGTTGGACTACCTGTGAAACCTCTATAGCGACCAGGTATTGCCTCATGGTATCAGTTGTGACCCTGTCCCTAGGCAAATGCATAACTAGTGAAAAAACATTCAGAAAACATAAAGAAAAAAAATCTCAGTGGTCTCTACCTGTAAAACCACTCCTGTTTTGGCAGTTGTCTTATTGTTGCCCCTCTAGTGCACCTGTTATTAATTTCATTAACACCAAAGCAGCTGAAACTGATTAACAACCAACCTCTGCTGCTTAACTCACCAGATCAATTAACCAGAAATTTAATTGCACTGATGCTATATTCTGTGGGGTTTTTAATATGTTTTTGAGCAGTATTTAAACATTACACAACAAAAAGATAGGTAAGATAGACACTGCTCACTCTGTGTCATTTGAATGCAAGTCCATTTTAGTATATTTAGTAATAAGTAGCCAGTTTGTTACCTGAGAGTATTCCACTGGGTATAGGCAAGAGTGCTGACGCAGCATAGTGAATAAGTAGTGAACAAACAAAAAATTTGATAAAATACATGCATCAAAGGAAGAGTGGATAGCTGTGTGTTTGGCTGACTGGGTGGCTAAGTAGGTAGATGGATGCATGGATGGATGGATGCATGGATGGATGGATGGATGGATGGATAGATGGATGGGTGGATAAGCAGGTGGGTGAACTAATGAAAAGCAGATCTGTGTAATTATGTTTATGTCAAAAGTCACACATGAGGGGAAACATAATCACAAGCAAATTAAAGTAAATTCAACAACCCATGTGCATAGATCTCAGCAGCCACATGCACAACGAAGCCATTGTGCGTAACAGTGTCTACTTTGCAAGCACTGCAGCAAATTCATGGTCTCATAACTTGCTCGCTTGAATTAACCTGAACTGACAGTTTGTAAGGCAGAGCCCTAAGAACGAGGGGCCTTAATATGACTAAATCACAGTCTCAGTAATGGACAGGTGCTATTTACTGGTTTAAACCAAATTATCCTGTGTGTGCAGCATGCATTATTTACTATTACAGTTATCTTTTGCTGTAAAGCAGTAATGAAATCTGTCTACTGAAGACTACTTTAATGCTCAAGTAATCTTAAAAACCCTGGGACTATAAGTCAAGCTCAGAATACTCTGCACTCCTGTCCCATTAGTCTATTGTACACTATTATATACCTTTTGTGACCATTAAAAACAAATAAATAAAAAGAACACTCTTAATGAGAATCAGGATGCTGCACAAAATAAAGACATATAAACTTGCAAACAAAAAGTTGATTAGTCTGCAGCAAACACATGTAATTGAACCATCACTAAAAGGGAAAGCTTTCAGAAGCCACTGATAAGTCAGTTCATCCAACAGCACACAGTAGAAATTACAGCTGTAGTTAAACTGGCAAACTTCATTCATTCAAGTCAACAAATCAAGACAAGTACTTACTGACGTGTAGCACAGATCGATTCTCTCATAGTGATTTTTGATTTATTCACAGAATAATAATAAGACTATACAAAGGCAAATATGTGACTTTCACGTCCATTTAAAGCTTTAACTCTATTAAATTACATATAAAATAAACCAAATATAAGACAGTTTGTACTAGCGTGTGGTGTACACTTTAATGACTCAACAATTATTTAGACTTTAAAGGATATTTTAACGTAGAACATTTGTACTTCTACTTTAGTAAAAGTTTATTTTCACAGAATGTACATATATTGTAGTATTTCTACTTGTATACATGTATAGGATTTAGGATTGAAAACTTCTTCCACAACCGTGAACAGCTGATAATCAACATTACACCATGTGGGCTACACAATTTTGGTAGCCTGTTTATTCATGTTATTTGTAACATAAAACATGCACACAGTTTTCATCCCTGTTTCCCTGCATTTAAAGTACATCTAGGTACCTACCAAGATTTTCTCAATTCTTTAATACTGTTCTTGCTGGTTTCTTTATGAATACTAATCCTTAAACAACAATAGATATTGATGTGTGGCATTTCCCTGTCATTTCAGGTCAAGGGTAGAAGACCAGAATGACTGATCAACAACAGACATAACTAAAATGAAACCATGTGTTAACTAGCACAAAGATTACCACAAACCATGAAAAATTAGCGTGAGTTGCAGGCATTCCCAACTGCTCCCACTTTGTTATAATACCACTAATAGTTGACTGTGGAGTATTTATTAGCGAAGAAATTTCACAACTGGACACAGGTAGCATCCCATCACCTGAACTTCACTGAGATCCTGAGAGCAAACCTTTCACAAATGTTCGTAGAAACCATCTGTATGCCTAGGTGGTTGATTTTAAACACCTGTGCCCATGGAAGTGATTGGAACACCTGAATTGGATTGGTGAAGGAATACTTTTAGCAATATAGTGCATGCTGTTGCCTCAGTGTAACTTGGTGTCATGCAGTAAACTGAGCAACTCTATCACAAAGGCTGTGGTGGCAATGCTTTGAAAGTGACCAATCAGAATCAGAACCAGAGACACTTTATTCCCCAAGGGGCAATTAAGATTCACACCAGGACTCCTCTTCCTTTGGGTCCTGCCTTCCAAACTGTCAAAAGCAAGATTGCTTTAAGCAAAAATAATTCAGCTTTGAGTGAAGAGTTACCTTCAAGAGTGTGAATGTGCTGCAGAAATTGCAAAGCAGACACTCACATGCGTGATGGCTTCTTTGTGCACATGGCTGCTGAGTACTACATGCACAATATGATGAATTTATGAGTAATGGATTTATTTACACAAGTGACAATGAATACCTGCACGTATGAAATTTGGCTTTGATTATGTTTTTTTCTCGCAGGTGACCTTTGACATAAATATGTATACAGATAGAAAACAGTCTAAAGAGACTAAGGATGCAGTCTCTAAAAGCGTATTTGCACCCCACCCCACCATTTAGCAAGCTCTGCCTGTGGGTTATAGACATGGTTCAAATTCTAAAACTGGCCACAATAAAAGTAACTTTGGAAATGAGAATGCTGCTGCATAAAAATATAGTTAAAAGATGTCTTGTTGTTACTTCCAACATTATTTTGACAGGATAGAACGGTGACAGAAAAGGTAGAACACTGTTCTATGTGTTATTATGATTATACCAATGGATGGAACTGAAATGAATTAGAAGTCTTGATATTAATGTTAACAGTGGATTAGTGATGGAGCTTTTTTGGTACTGCAATTTTGGTACTGTTGATGACCCTGTTTGTTACCTTTGCAGCTGAGCGATCTCCTGGCTGATGTCATCCAACTCCTTGATGCCAGTGAACTCTCCTGAACCCACTGAACTAGAGCTGTCCTGTAAAAAACAGCAAAAAAAGGACAAAATAAGAGACGGTCAAGTTGTCTCAACAAACACGATGAAGTAGGATGATGAAATGGCACCAAATGAGCCATGGCAGAATAGGCCAATGGAAGGAGAAAGAGGTAAAAACGGATAGGAGAAAAACTGAAGGTCAAGAAGAGGAGCAGCACGGAGGTGGGGCTATGTCTATCACCAACATGTGAGGGAGGTGTCACCACCAATGACAACCTGCAAAGGACAGGAAAGATTCAGGACTTTTCAATTTTATCTTCACCTCACCTTTAAAAAAAATCTATATTGGTCTACAACAAGCTTCCAGTATTTTTCTCTCTAGCTTTGGGAATTGCAGAGTAACTTAATGGTACTATAACGTTATGTTACCTGCAATAAAAATAAGACAACGATTCTGCAATGCTTTTATGTCTGTGTAACCTATTATGAAAAAAATGCATCTCGGAAGCATTGTGCTATCTTTGTTTTTATTACAGTTATTATGGCATTTAAATAAATTCTATCAATTCAATTCATTATCATCCCAATAATTACTCTCCACGCTGTCTGCCATTTATGCTTGCTTTTGATAAGCACCACAATGAAGAATCGTTAGTAAAGACTCTGGAGAGTAATATTGGTAAAAAAAAAATACGTTTTAGAGTGCCTGCATGATTTAATATAACATCAAGACAGGATGTACCCCGTGAGAAGCGGGTTACATCCTGGACAGCTTGCCAGTCTGTCGCAAAGCTAACACAGACAGACAACAGACGACCATCCGTGCTCACACTCGCACTAACTGTCATGATCCTGGGTCTGCTGACCCAGCGTTTTGTGTTTAGTTTATGTAGCCTTCAGGTTTCCTAAGTTTATCATTATCATGCCTAGGTGTTACTAGTTATTTTCCCCTCGTGTTTCCACTATGTTAAGTCTCCCCTGCTTTCATGTATTTTATGTCTGTGGCGTATGTTGTCAGTCCAGGTTGTCATGTTTATATCTCACTGTTTCCTGTCTTATTGTGAAGAGGTCTGGTGTGTCTGTGTTCATCATGTTCAGTTTTACTCTCCCATTGTCACGTCGTTATGTTCATGTGTGTCAGCTGGTTCCCCATGTGTTGCCACTTCCCTCATTATCCTCCTGTGTCCATTTAGTCTGTGTGCTCTCAGCCATTCTTTGTCAGGTCGTCTGCTCATCCATGTCTCATCCCCAAGTACCCATGTCAGTTCACTATGGTTAAGCTTTTTCATGTTTTGTTATTAGTTCACCCAGTTTAGGTTATTGTTTAGTTTTCACCGATGCCCGATTATTTTTACCCTCATTGCTAGCCTCAATAAACGGCTTGTTTTGTTTATCCACACTACGTTTTGGTCTGCGTTTGAGTCCTCCTCTGCAACACATACGGTCTGCCCCAGCCAGACCGTGACAGTACGACCTGACCACTATGGACTCAGCAGACCGCGAGCTTTACGAGCGTCAGGAGGCAGCCTTCGCCCAGCTGGAGGAGGAGCTCCGCTGGAAGCCGTGGCGTACCCCCGACTACGAGCGCATTTTCCACGGGACTCGGCTAGCTCTCGGAGGTCCCAAGAGCTGCCGAAAGTCCCCGCCTGTTGCGCTGCCTGCATCTAAGCCTCGCTCGCTTCAGGTGGGAGTCCTCCGTGTGGCTTCAGGCGCTCACGCTCCAGCCTCGGTGTCACCGTTCTGTGCACCAGGGGCTCAGTCGCTCGCTCCGCCAGCTTCCTCTGTTCGCAGGAAGCGGCGCGCACGCCGCCATAAACCGGACATCGCTGAGCAGCTCACGGTGGTGAGTGAAAATGACTTTTATTCTCACGTCCCGTCTGACATTAACAACAATCGGCTCACTTCCGATCCATGGGGAATTTCCCTTATGGATGACGACGTGGACTGGGAGGATCCGTTTTGTTTTACTCCCTCTACGCAGGGAGGGATGAAAGACAATTCCCGCTCGCTTAAGTCTGCACATGCGGTTAAAGGAAAAACTGTTAACACTTCTACCAGGTCTACAACACTCAGTTCAGGTTTTGTTAAGTCTGGTTCAATCATCCCCAAGTCAGCTCACTCTAAGACCGTTAACCCAAGGACTGCTAATACTAAGACTGCTAAACATGAAGTGGACGGCGGATTCATTTTTGCTAGGTCTGTTTTTGTCGACCCAATACATATTAACCCTAAGCCTGCCGTTTCTAAGACTGTTTTTTCTGAGCCTGCTCCTTTGCCTGTTCGTGTTTCTGCTGCCAGGGCAGCTCGGGCCCAGCGTACCCCTGCACCCGTACCAGTTCCTCGGGTGAGGGAGTCTGAGGCCCAGCTGGTCCCTGCTCTGGTTTCCAGGCCAGCTGAGGCTCTGTCCGTTTCTGCACCCGTACCAGCTCCTCGGGTGGGAAGGGCAGTTGCCCAGCCGTTGCCGGTGCCTGTCCCGGCTTCCGGGGTGAGGGGGGCTGTGAACCAGTCCACCCCTGCACCCATGCCGGTCCCCAGGGTGAGGTCAGCCAGGATACAGCCCGTCTCCGCACCCGTACCTACTCCTCGGGTGGGAGTGGCTAGTGTCCAGCAGGTGCCTGCACCCGTTCCTGTTTCTACTGAAGGCTCAGGAGAATTCAGTCTGCAACCAACACCACCATCACTACTGCATGCTTTTCAGTCTATAGCTCAGTCATTAGCTCTGTTAGCAGCCCAGTCAATAGTTCATTTTCCTGTGTTTCCGTTAGCTCAGCCCTTAGCCCACTGTGCAGCTCAGCCAGCTCCCCATTGTTCAGCTCAGTCATCTGTTCCGTCACCCACTCAGCCTTCTGTTCAGCCGGTGGTCTCTGCACCTACTGGTCATGCCACGTCAGCTGGTGGTTCCGGAGAAACACATCAGCCTCACGCCTCGTCAGCTGGAGGGTCCGAGGAGCCCGTCCAGCCTCACGCCTCGTCCGCTGGAGGGCCCGAGGAGCCCGTCCAGCCTCACGCCTCGTCAGCTGGAGGGTCCGAAGGGCCCGTTCAGCCTCACGCCTCGTCAGCTGGAGGGTCCGAGGGGCCCGTTCAGCCTCCTGTCTCCGCTGGAGGGTCCGAGGGGCCCGTTCAGCCTCCTGTCTCCGCTGGAGGGTCCGAGGGGCATATCCAGCCTCACGCCTCGTCAGCTGGAGGGTCCGAGGGGCCCGTTCAGCCTCCTGTCTCCGCTGGAGGGTCCGAGGAGCCCGTCCAGCCTCACGCCTCGTCAGCTGGGGGTTCAGGAGAACCGCACCAGCCTCATGCCTCGTCAGCTGGAGGGCCCGAGGAGCCCGTCCAGCCTCAAGCCTCGTCAGCTGGGGGTTCAGGAGAACCGCACCAGCCTCATGCCACGTCAGCTGGGGGTTCAGGAGAACCGCACCAGCCTCAAGCCACGTCAGCTGGAGGGCCCGAGGAGCCCGTCCAGCCTCAAGCCACGTCAGCTGGAGGGCCCGAGGAGCCCGTCCAGCCTCAAGCCACGTCAGCTGGGGGGCCCGAGGAGCCCGTCCAGCCATCAAGACAGGATGTACCCCGTGAGAAGCGGGTTACATCCTGGACAGCTTGCCAGTCTGTCGCAAAGCTAACACAGACAGACAACAGACGACCATCCGTGCTCACACTCGCACTAACTGTCATGATCCTGGGTCTGCTGACCCAGCGTTTTGTGTTTAGTTTATGTAGCCTTCAGGTTTCCTAAGTTTATCATTATCATGCCTAGGTGTTACTAGTTATTTTCCCCTCGTGTTTCCACTATGTTAAGTCTCCCCTGCTTTCATGTATTTTATGTCTGTGGCGTATGTTGTCAGTCCAGGTTGTCATGTTTATATCTCACTGTTTCCTGTCTTATTGTGAAGAGGTCTGGTGTGTCTGTGTTCATCATGTTCAGTTTTACTCTCCCATTGTCACGTCGTTATGTTCATGTGTGTCAGCTGGTTCCCCATGTGTTGCCACTTCCCTCATTATCCTCCTGTGTCCATTTAGTCTGTGTGCTCTCAGCCATTCTTTGTCAGGTCGTCTGCTCATCCATGTCTCATCCCCAAGTACCCATGTCAGTTCACTATGGTTAAGCTTTTTCATGTTTTGTTATTAGTTCACCCAGTTTAGGTTATTGTTTAGTTTTCACCGATGCCCGATTATTTTTACCCTCATTGCTAGCCTCAATAAACGGCTTGTTTTGTTTATCCACACTACGTTTTGGTCTGCGTTTGAGTCCTCCTCTGCAACACATACGGTCTGCCCCAGCCAGACCGTGACACTAACTGCCTTTGGACTTTTGGGAAGAACCCTGTACTTTTTTGCTGTGAAGCAACCATGCGCCACCATGCTACCCTTGTTATGCTTACATGCTGAGTGGAAGATATGTGTGTTGTCTGATCACACACATTTCACAACCAAATAAGCTTTCAGTGAAGTATTATAAAAAAAAGACTGCACATTTCCTGTCTTCATTGCAAAGATATGACTGGCATTTCTTCTATTAAAAATCCTTCTGAGTGGACCTGTCGTGATGCTGGATCTATGACACAGCATTTCTGTTTCTTCTGCTTTTTCTGGCATTGTTTAGGTTTCTGGTTTAATCATTTGCATTTCTAGTCCAGTTAGATATTTCCTGCTAAGGTTACATTTGTAGTTCTAGTCTTTTGTTTTGGTACTGTCCCTCCCTTGCATTCCACATTTCATGTCTAGTCTCCCTCGTCTTCATGTTTGTTTACTCGCCCGTGTCTGTTTTCTGATTACTTTCGGTCTTTCCGGTTGACTGTGTTCCCAAGTCTGTTTGATCCCCAGTCCCAGTGTTAAGTCCATATCTTAGTGTGTGTCTCTTGTTTTTATTTCAATAGTCCCTTGTCCTGTGCTTAGTGTATTCATTTTTACTTCCTCCATCGTTGTGTCAGATTACTTCCAGTCGTGTTTCCCATCTTCTCATTATCCTCTGTGTATTTAGTCCTCTGTCTTCCTCTGCTGCTGTCACATCGTCCCACATGACTGTGTATTCTTGTGCGCTTCGTTTCCCTCTTCCATCTCTGTTCCAAGTTTGAGTTTCAAGTTTGTTGTTTCCAGTTCTCTCCCTTTCAGAACTGCCTTAATTCTTCATGGCACAGATTTAACAAGGTCTTGGGAACATTCCAGAGATTTTGGTCCATACTGACATCGCAGTATTACACAGTTGCCTGCTACACAGTCATGATGCAAATTTCCCGTTCTCGCTTTAACTTCCTGTCATGTTCAAGAAACCAGTTTTAGAAGATCTGAGCTTTGTGACATGTTATGTTATTCTGGTGGTAGCAGCTATCATAAGACGGATCCACTGTGGTCATAAATGAATGGACGGGGTGAGTAATAACCACTGACACAAGGCAGGATGGATCCATACCGTCATGCTGTTTATTTCAAATTCTGACCCTACCATCCACATGTCGCTGCGGAAACAGAGACTCATCAGACGTGGTAACATTGTTCCATTCTTGTGTTGTCAAATTTAGGTAACCCTGTGTGAATGCTAGGCTCAGTTACTGTTGCCTTCCTATTAGTCTGGCCATTCTCCTCTGACATCCCCAGTGTTGGCCATTTCTGGCCACAGAACAGACACTCACTAGATACTTTCTCTTTGTCTTTACTTTTCTTTCTTGTAAATCCTAGAAGTGGTTGTGTGGGAAAAGTAGATTAGATCAGTAGAATGGCAGATTCTGAAATACCCAAGCCAGTTTGGCACAAACAATGCCAATTAATGCCACATTCAGGGTAACTTAAATCACCTTTATTCCCCATTCTGATTCTCAGCTGAACTTTGACGTCTTAAAAAGTGCCACTGCGTAAATGCACGGAGCTGCTGCCATGTGATTGGCTGATCATATGTCTGTCATCAAAGAGTTCAACAGGTGTAATTAACCAAGTGTTTGGTGAGTATATTGTATGTTTAAATAACTGTATCATATATCTGTTTTTGTTGTCATACTGCAACTAGTTTTGCGCGTTCAACTGAGTAGATGATTGCTGAATTGAGTTATTTACTGCAAGACCACAACTACAACTGCTACTAACAGATTTGAGCTTCCTTAAAAGACATCCTCAACAAAAAAGAACCAATTTTTCATCCAGTGATCCTGAATCTTGCCATGATCAAGACAGTTTACAGTGTGAGGCAATCTTACTGTACTGTATCGAAATGGAGAAAAAATTCTTGCAAATGCTTTCCAGGAATCAGTGAAAGCTGAAAGCATTTAGAAAGTAGTATGTTATAAGCCCATGTTACCTACCCACAACTTGAACATTATGGCCTAAGAGAGGAGGAAGAGGCGAAAGGTAGAAACGTTAGCAGCAAAGAGAGGATAGAACAGTGAGCAGTAAATGTCTTTGGTTTCACCAATTTAACCCTTCACAACATTTCCATTTTATTTTGACATGGGTCAGCGTTTGAGTTATTTTCCACTCCCAAGATAACACATGTAGCGGGAAATATGTACACCTTGCAGCCTGAGAAAGAGAAGAATAGGGAAGTAAAGAACAACTGACTCACCCGCCTCATTTCTGACAGAGCAGCCATCTCAGATCCCACTGGAGTAATGTATCCTGACATACTCTGAAACCACAGAGAAGGTGGTGGTGAAAAACAGCATCACGTCTCTGATGATGGTGTAAAAGTCAAGAGGTTTTATTGTCATTTCAACCAGTGAAATGTGTGTGTGTGTGTGTCAGTCCAGTCACTGAGTGTTCAGGAGTCTGACAGCTTGGGGGAAGAAACAGTCTGGCAGTGAGGGCCCAAATGCTCCGGTACCTCTTGTAAGAAAGCAGCAGGGTGAAGAGTGAGTGTGTGAGGGGTGCGTGGGGTCTTCCACAATGCTGCCGGCTTTGCGGATGCAGCGTGTGCAATACTTATAAACAGCAAACTTCTCTGATGATGGTGTAAAACAGCAAGCAAAGTAGCTTTATTCCATGTAAAAACAGAAACTTTTGAAAACCTTTTAAACAAGAGGGACTTTGATTACATTATGTCCCACCAGAGAAGAAATAATCATGGCTTAACAGTGATGACAAAAGCACATTTTGATTAAAAAAACAACAACTAGGCTTTAGGCTACAGGTCATTGTAAAATGTATATAATATAATAATAAACTCAACAAACTTGAAACTCATAAACTTACATTTTATTCACAAAGATACTCATAAAACATGTCTAATGTTTAAACTAAGAAAATGTTAATATTAGCTCACTTTGAATTTGATGGCAGCAGCATGTCTCAACAAAGTTGGCATGGGAGCAACAAACGCTAACGGGCTAACGCATTATCTTGTTAACGTGTTAGCGTCGTGCAGCCCCACGCACGGGGCGATCCGCGTTAACTCGCTAACGGGGATTTGCCGCGTTAATGCGGTTATGGCGTTAACGTCATTTTAACGATAGTGCACTGACAGCACTAGTTTTTATGTTTTATTGTGAATTAAAACAGGTGAGGTACAACATAGGTCTCACTGTGACAGCCAATACTATATCATGCAAGCTGGGGATGTGAATATGTCGACATTAGCACACCTTTAACAGCTTTGATGATGCTACTTACTGGTAGTGGAGTGCTTCTTTCAGAAGGTGGAATCATATCAGCAGTCAGGGATTGTGGAGGATCAATGCCCTTACTGACTTTCTGCTGGATAAGATGCATGGAGAGGGCAAACTGCTCCCTGGTCAGCTTGCCTATCTGTCTTGTATCTGCTAAAGCCCTGCGAGAAACAACATAATCGACAGAGACACATTCAGTTCATTCAGTTAACCTCAGCTTTTATATTGCAAAGATTCGGTCTAATAAAAATACAAAGGAAATGAACCATATCAAGTCTAATAGCAACCAAATCAAGCAGCTCCAAGTTCATTTTTCAATGTCACGTTTGGCACATTTTTTGGGCAGAGCTATGGTACTATAATGATTTTCACCCAGTAATATCTCAGCAAACTAACAACTGGATGTGTCCTTCTTGTTAGCAAAAACTTCAATCAAGGATTTGTGATAAGTGGCAATATCTGCGGAGCTCTTTTTTCTGGTCCTGGAATCTGCTGTGGAGGAATTTTGGCAGCTCTTCTTGGCAGAATTATTTTAATCTTAATTCAGGCACATGAGAGAGTTTTCTGGCGTTTTTGTTTTTTTTGTTTTTTTTTTATCATGGTTTGGCGTGTATGACCCAGTACTCTGGATTAGATTTTTTTTTAGTTCTGTTTATGATTATTGTGTGTTTCTGAATAGTTTGTTCTTTGTTTTGGTAATTTTGAGTTTTCTATCCTAGGATATTTCTCCTCTTTGTTTTATTCTCAGTTTTTGTTATGTCTCCACCATTTGTAATTTGTTATTATCGCTAACTGTTTATAGTTATTTCCCTAAATCTCATCTTTCCTGCCTCCTGTGTTCCCCTTATCTGTTGACTCTTCGTTTCCTCTATCTTTGCTTAATCTGTGTCTCGTTACCCTGGTGTTTGCCATATCTCTGATTACCTCAGTCTAAGGCCTTAAAGATGAAGACAATAGCTCATCTATAAAGTATTTGTCAGAATTTTCCCAAATGCTTTTTTAAAAACACAGCAATGTGTATAAACCAAAATGTATGATTCCGGTAGGTCTTGTTTACCTGAATGAATATAGTCATTATTTAAAAACTGCATTTCTTCTTTACTCTGGTTATTACATTTTATTTGATGATCTAAATCAACCAAGACAAATATGCAAAAAACAATTTTTCACAGTACTGTATTTATATCTCTCATAATGGACTGCCAACATTTTCAAACATTTTGCATCACCAATTGCAATTGACGTTTTAAATATAAAATTCAGTTTTTGTTTTTTTAAACGTATCAATTATTGCACTGCTAATTAATAGAAATGATGAATATTAGTGTCTGCAGAAAACTGAGAAGAATTGTGGTTGAGTTCCTACCATATATGGGCAAGAAGAGTCTGAGAAAGTCCAGATTGCATGAAGATCTCCTTTACTTCCTGTCCACTGACAAAACCATCCATGTCAGCATCCGTCTTCAGGAAGATATCGTCATAGCGGCCACGCTCTGACACAGGGACCACCCAGTTCACCGAATGCTGAAAGAGACAAAGACTCACACTATGTCATTTTTTTATTTTTGACTCTGAATCAACCCTGTTAAAACTATCTGCACATCATTTACCTAGACTTGCAACTTTTGCATGTATGATTAACTATGGTTCTCATTCTTTTCAGGAGATCACTTTACATAATACATACATGCATACATACATACATACATAAGCATTGCACATCAGAGAAATGAACCTACAGAGACTTAGAGAGCTCCAACTCTTTAGGTCTCTATAGGGAGTTTGACTGGAATCATCACAGTTTGAGTGCATGAGAATATAAAATAATGGCTCAGGAAAGAAAAAAGTAATGTAGCCTTACCTGCATTGTTATGACAGTATACTTGACCAAACAGTAACTGCCTGTTACTTTTTAAAGGGTCTACTTAAACACATCAACCTGCATTCACAAGAATTTTAGTAAAGTTGTCCTCAGACTGTCACCAAATCTCAAACTTATCCGAGAGTTTTAATAGATTTAATTTGAAATTCGTTCTGCTAAACGATTCACTGTTTACATCAAGACTTGTTCAAGTTCAACTTAAGTTAACAACTGAGACTTGATGTCTCAGGGCGAGAGCAGGATGGTAAAGAATAAACTCCATCAATAACAAAAGCAGCTGCATCATTATGGCAACACAACTTTGGCTCTTCGCAAGTATCTGCACAGACAGCATGCTAACGCTAAGCAGGCCAAGAACCTGAATCCTGGCCCCAAAACTTCAACAGGTAACAAACAAATGTATACGTTTCTACCTGTTTGAATTCATTTTCCTAATCAAGGATTTGACCCTTTTCAAATCCTTTTTAATAGTATCCTTTGTAATTCTAGGCTACTTGGTGCACAATGATGGTGGAAAATATGAATTAACAATTTTAGCATAGCCGATCTGTTGTGATAATGAGAGAAAAGTGAAGCTGCTGATTTACCAGTCAGACTACGTTCCTCACCTATGGTCACAGGCTATGGGTAGTGAAATACAAGTGACAGAAATGAGGCCCTGGGACTAAACCAGGAGTAATTGGAGAGATTATTTCTCTTGGCTAGCATGGGAATGACTTGGTGTCCCCTTAAATTTTTTAGAATGTTTATTACCTGTCCAGACTTGAGTGTGTGTTTGGGTGACAGGCTGCCAGTGCTGTTGAGCGAGTTCATGCTGCCGTGGGAGGGTGTGGAACGTAGAGAATCTTTAGGTGGAGGAGGGCTTGCAGGCAGTCCAGGTAAAGAGCTGGCCACAGAGCTGAGACTCTTCTTCCTCTTAGATGGAGGGATGAGAGCAGAGGGGAGGAGTGCAGGAACAGGCTCTTTTTCCAAGGCCCGGTACACCAGGTGCATGGCCTAGGAGAGAATATCAAGCTAATACTACATATTTACTGGTTCACATACTCCTGAATGAAATGAGTTATGTCCCAAACCTGTTATTTTGCCAAAAGTCCAAACATGAAAGCCTCACTAGATTGCTCCTAACTTGCGCTGCCACCTCAGAATTAATTCAATTTTATCTATACAACAAACAGCAACAGTCACCTCAAGGTGCTTGATTGACTTCATCAGTGGCGATACTCAATTCTTGTTCACCTGATTCACATTAAATCTTTTGTCTATTGGGTAATAATGAAAAAACAATCAGTTCTTTCTCTACTTATACTCATAATTCATTTATCTTGTTATTAAAGCTGAGACATGACCATTTTTTCCATATGTTGAAACACTGGCTTGTAGGCACGCACAGTTATTTCCAGCTAGAGACAGTCACACAGCACGAGAGCTTTTTGTACCTTGAGTCAAAATTCTGTTCTCTTCTTTCCTAAAACTAAATTATTTGTGTTCATCATATGTGCACGATCCCTACAGTCAAACATGGGGTTTGAGTTTTCTTTCAAGCAACCCTACAAACAGTTCTCTCTTGCCAGTCATGAACTTGATCTCCAGAATTCCTGTTAACCAGTCATTCACATTACTTGAAACTAGAGAAGCAGTGATCTCTTACCCTTCTCTTCTTATCATTTTGTATTTACTTGGGTTATCATTGTCTAATATTTAAATGTGATAAATGTGCAAAAAAGTTTAAAAACTACTTTTTCAGCTGAAAAGGTTAAAAAGTACTGTATTCTTTCTCAAGATATTTGTAATACAGTTTGAGCGTTAATTTTAACCATTGCGGAGATAAGTATTTGTTATATTCACATAACGTTTCAAAGAAACAGATATTGTCGGTCAAACTTTTGCATATCAATGTTAATCAGATGAGTATCACTCACCACTGCAAACTCATCTTTGTCTAGATGGCCATCCTTGTCTATGTCACTCAGGTCCCAAACCTAACAGTAAGAAATAAACACGATTAGTGAGATGACCAATGATAAATGAAAAGGTAACTAAAGTACAATACATTCAATTTCTTCAGAAAAAATACTATTTTCTAACAGTTCATGACATTATCGGGTGCCTGTCACTTGGGAGATAGAGCAGGTCAACTACTAATCAGAAGGTTGGTGGTTTGGTTCTTGGCTGCTCCCAGTCTGCATGCCAAATAATACAAGTGGCTCTCCGATGCATGAATGTTAGATAGAAAGCACTTACTTAGAAAAAAACAGTACTTGTATGAGTGGGTGTGAAGCTTTGAGTGCACAGGTAAAGTAGAAAAGTGCTACTTAAGACCCAGTGCATTTACCGTTTACATTCATATAACTGAATGTTTCTGAAAGAAAACCCATTACATTCTGCCTTCAGTATTTTAAAGCTTCAACACAAACCAAAACGCCATGTTTACGCATCCTTGGGCTTCTTCTTAAGTCCAAAACAAAAATCCTAATTGGACTAAATACCTTCCCAAGGACATCCAGAGGTAGCTTGGAGTTGATTAAGACTGGGCGGACTTTCTCTCCTGACAGCAGGCCGTTGACTGGAACCAGACTTTCAAAAATCCCATCAAATTTATTCTTCTCCTCTGGCTACAAAGCAAAAGACACACTATTTATTTCAAAAGCTTAAACATCTTGTGTTTATTCATACCATAAAGACAAACGTTGCTTTCCCAAATACAATTTTTGGAGCTTGGAGATATGATGGCAATCATCTGCTACAATTTGAGGCTTTGCACAGAGGGGGTTTCTTAAATTATACATAAGCTAAACATAGCTTGTGCTAAATTTAAAAAAGAAGTCATAACTCATAAGCAAAGTTAACACAATGTATGCCATGTGATGCACAAACTCTGAGTGCTGCCAAAGCAAGAGCACAAACAGGTTTTTCATTTGTGTAAAAGCAAAGTATCTGAATATTACAACGTTGTTAAGTTTTCGTGCAAAAAAATTGTGCATTCTGTAATTAAGCAGGTATATGTGTGATTCTATAACTCTGACAAATCACTCTACACATAAATGAAAGATAATGGATGAAGTTTACATCAAAAAGAAAGTTAAGCTATGTACACACTGTAAGGGATCCACAACGATGTGGCAACCACCTACCGTAAAAAGTGAATGTCATTCAGCAGCGTCAAACAATTACAGGCCGCAGCAACAGGAAGTGGGCGGGACCTGAGATAAACTTTTCTAAATTTTCAGGCATGTGACTGAAGTAACTACCAATGAGAGCAAAGAATACAGGTCTTTGTTTTCAATTCAGTTTAATTTTAGTTAGTTGCCAGAGTTTCTTGTTTCAGTTCTATTTTCAATTTTTTAAAACGTTTAGTTTTTATTAGTTTCAGTGTTATTTTTTATTTTATTTATTGAGATATTTTATTTATGAAAATCAGTATAGACATTACACTATAAACATGACTTTTTGAATACAGTCGACACACGTGCTTGTAGAAATCCAAAGCCTGGATAAAAACATCTGTCAAACCTTCATCAGCCAGTTTGAGAAAACAAATTTTGACCACATTAAGGCGATGCTGGAGTGAGGCTCTGGTGACAGGAATAACCCACACTATTTTTCACACCCTCTTTGTCAGGACTCAAATGATCAATAGTCAGTTAAAGACCCTCGGGACCACCTTCAAAGGGGGCAGCCCCCAGTAGGGGTTTATTACCTGGGATTTTACAAACAAAGAAACCTCTTGGATGAGAGGCAAAACATCTTCATAAAACTAAAGACATTGAGTTGCCTTCTTTTCAATCTCTCAAGGCCATTCTGTAATTATTGCTTTACTTCAACATCTCAAAGTCTGCGTCAGTGTGTGTGTGTGTGTGTGTATTTGTACACACCCTGACAGCCCAGTGCGATTCAGCAGGAACAGAGGCTGTGCTGCTTAGAGATGGGCTGCTGGTGTCCTTCTGCAATCACACGTTACAGTGATCATTTTCCAACTTTCAAGAAAAGGTTTAATAATATAATGAATTGAAATGAGTATGACAGAGTCTGTTCATCTACAAAATGAATATGAGCAAAAGAATTATAATTCTAGTAAGCTGTAGTTTCTGTATACAAAATATGACAGTTTTTGCTCAAATGAGGAATATACTCACAAACTTCGGAGGAGGGACTGTTAGGCTGAGACTGGACAAGCTGACTTCCAGACTGTTCTGAGCACAGGCAACCAGTCGTAGAGCCACATAAAACCCCTGAGTAAGAAAACAAAGTGCTTCCCATTGTGTCCTTCACATGTAGTATTAAAAAGACTTCTACCAATTGCTTTTATTAATTAGAACAACAGTATGTCTAAGAGAATTAAACATATTCTCCTCCATGCTCTCAAAAGTACATTTTTATTACTGTTTCTTTGGACAGTGTGATGTAGATCAATCTGTATATGTTTGCTTTTGTTTATTTACAATCATCTCTAAAACTCTACCTCACCTGTTTGTCCAAGTAGCCTTTGCCATCAGGATCAGCCAAATCCCAGATCTGAAACACAACGCACAAGTACATGATTAAAGGTTAAATAAACAAATGAAAAGATGAAATGGAAAAATAACATTATCAACCATTAGTCTTACGTTACTGTGGTTTAGCTGAGTATGTGAGCTGTGCCCAGAAAAAACAGGAGGCTCAATAGCATGTGGAAGAACCAAACACAGCCACAACACTCACCCAGTCTTCATGGTGGTCGCCTGCTTGGTCAAACAATACTGTTGCAAGTCAGCCAGTGTAGCTGTGTTGTTCACTCTGGCACAAACAGCACGTCCTGATACCACAACTGTTCAATGGGCCTGAGGTCAGGACTGCAGCGGGCCATTCCCCCCTCTCCACTCTCAAATTCTAATGGTAGTGTCTGATAAATCCCGCTCTACTGGGGTCAGCGGTGGCATCTTGCAGGACATAGTATGGTCCCAGAATGTGACGATATAGGACTGCAACTGGTTGCAGAATCTCATCTTAATATTTCTCTGCATTTTAACTGCTTCCAATTCTGACAAGCCTTCTTATCACAGAGAAAACTGTGTATCACTGATAGAATAGAGACTGAGAGTAGGTCCAGCCTGTTTCAAACTGAGCTGTCCTGCAGTAACAGTAACAAGTAAGAGTAACACATTACTTTTTGTGAGCAACGACCCCAGCAATGGTCACAACCTCTAACATGTGCAAACATTTGACCACACAACGTGCAATCAATTTGCACAAATATTGTCTTTGCTGCTCAGAGATGATGGTGACTCTCAAAGCGGAGCCGATGAAAACAAAATGAGAATCGACCATGAATCGAACTGATAATGGAATTGGAATCACTAAATTTATATCAATTATAATCTCTAGTTCCAAGTTTTCCCATTTTGTGGATAATGGCGCTCATTTTGGTTCCCTGGACTGCCAAAGAATTAGCTTTGTAACTCTTTCCAGACTGACAGATGTCAGTGACTTTGTTCCTCCTCTGTTGTTGAAGATTTGTGTCTGTTTGTGTGCACACACATGACAAAGCCTACACAGAACTATATTTTTACTTTCTAGATTAAAATACTGCCAAATGAAGCTGCCCTTAGTAAATGGTTACATTTTCCCCTTATTTTAGGTTCTTGTGGGTTCAACCACAAATGGCAAATACACTGGTTCTCATAACGCACTTTTCTACTCTACCCGAGAACTTAAACCTATCTACAAACTCAACCATCATTTTGATAACAGATGCACAGCTGTGTGAGTGTGTCGACTGGTAAAAATCTAAGAGCCATAACCAGCTGTTATGTGATGTGTAACTTTGGCTACCTACCTTTCCCAAAGTAAGGTCAGGGAGTCCAGACTTTTTTAAGAAAAGAGCAGCTTCTGTTGGTCCTACTCTCCCTGTATTCCCAGGATCCACCTTAAAACAAATCATCAGTGCAGTGTTGCATTCCATAGGCATCTCTCTCTTGTACCATCTTTTATATTCTTTTACACAAAATAGGTTGAAGCTTAAAAGTTTTATGTTTTGTGTCATCATCTTACCTGCCTGTAAAAGTTCTCATATACAGGGTTCCCACTGGACAACTGTGACAGAGAAAGAAAGTTATTAAATGATTAACAGACATATATGACATCTACACTATTCAAAAATCACTTGCTTATCACAGTATAACACCCGGTCAGTTAAACTCAATCTGTCTAGTTAGGAAGAATAAACCATTCTGAATCCATTTTTCTTTCTTTGGTACAAATCAAAGAGACAGCAGGTGCACTGGTGAGGCAACAAGACAACAACCGAAAGGAGAATGGTTTTGCAGGTGCTGGCCAAAGACCTCCTCATCCTTCTTCAGTGATTTTCCAGTCAGTTTTTCTTTTTGTTAGTCTCCTTAACACTACTGGTAGTATAAGACAGCAACTGCAAGTCATTCAGGTTGCAAAGGTAGTCCAGCTCCTCCAGGATGGCACATACCCATATATATCATAAGAAAGTCTGCCATGGCTTTCAGCCTAGTCTCATCTCAAAAACATGTAAATTGTGTCGGCTTTCAGCACCTGACCTCCTCGGGCACTCCCCGTGGAACGCCCGACGAGTTTAAAGCTAGAAATCAAATACCTGCGGGGGTTCTGAGTCAGTCTTTATCTGGACAATTTAAAAAAAATGCGTGTATATCGGATTAATTTTTGTTATTACAATCAGTAGAGATTTCTGAATTACACTGGGGATGCAGTGAAGGGGCTCTGTGAACAACTAAATGCAACTTCTCTGATGATTTGGCAGAACAGAATGGCTTTAGATAAGATAAGATAAGATAAGATAAGATACCTTTATTAGTCCCACGAGTGGGAAATTTCATGTTAAGGCTGCCGACCAATTGCACGCAGTGGCGGCACCATCTTACCCTCCGACCATACATACATTGCATGAAAACATCACATGGGGAAGACAGGTCAGAGAGGTATAACAATGGAAAATGCACAACATGAGGAAAGATAAGGAGAAAAAAAATAACTCCCCCCAGACTGAGCTCCAACAGGGAGATCAGTTTGAGAACAGAAAAAAAAACATCTCTGCACATAGCACATGAAAAAACTCTTAATACACCAAAGAACACATGACAAGCAACAGGGGTGGGTAAAGGGTGAGAGACAGCCAGTGTAGACAGTGCATCCGGGCCTGCAGCATATGTGCTGGTCTTCTTGATCCACCGTCAGCATCGGAAGGGAATAAGCGTCGAAGGCGTTTGGAGGGGGAGGGGGGATGAGTGTATATCTGCATGTGTATATATATGTCTGTGTGCGTGTGTGTGTATGTGTCCAGAGTTCAGCTGAGACAGTGTCCTTCGCCCTGGCAGGCAGAGAAGGGCAGGGTATGCAGGATGTTCAAGGCTAGTTGTTGCACGTTTATCCCTAACAACACGCCACCTGATGACACTGTGATTCGAGCATTAGAGTAGCTCACCACCCTTGCTGATGAATGGGCCGAGCATTCGGGATAAGCAACCTGCAGTTGCAGTACAGTGGCCTTGTTGACTGTCTGCAGATGCTGCTTCATTCCCTAAATGAGAAAATTGGTCCAGAGACTGATTGACACTACTCTAACCAAGACGGTCTACATGTATCACCAGATAGGGCAGAAAGAGAACGACTAAAAAGATGACCTATGATGACGCTACTGAAGTGTGATACAATAATGACAGTTCTGTTAAAAGCCCAGACAGGACAGAGATAAGAAGAAGAAGAAGAAGAAGAAGGTGTACTTTATTGGTCCCCGTGGGGAAAATCCCTCTCTGCATTTAACCCATTCACTTAGTGTAGCAGTGGGCAGCCATTGGGCGCCCGGGGAGCAGTGTGTGGGGACGGTACCTTGCTCAGGGGTACCTCAGGGTAGCTGTTCAGGGGAATCGAACCCCCGACCTTCCGATCATGGGGCCGCCACTCTACCTACTGAGCTATCCCTGCCTGCATGTATTAGCAGAAAAAAAAAGAATGCTTGGACACTGCTAGCATAATAGACAGGTTTTTGACAGGGCTCCCACACAAACGCAAAGCAGAAGATGATGCATTGCCAAATATGCTTCCAAACCAAAGAGGAGAAGCCTTTGAGTACACCTGTACAATGGTGGGTAATGAGGAGAGGCTGCAGTGTGTTGTCTGTCTTAAAACTGCTACCTTGAGACAGTTTAAAGCCTAACAAGCGAAGATCCCACTTGGAGACAAAACATCTAGAGCACAAAGACAAGTCAGTTGTCTTTTTCAGACAAAAACTTGTGAATTGTCGTGCTCAACAGTGTCTATTTACTATTATTTTCTGTTCCGGACAATCCTCAGCTCAGCTTCAACAAAGTTGCCTACCAAGTGGCACAGTGTAAAAAAAACCACACAATGCCGGAGAGATTGTCGAACTGAAGAGCCATAGAAGTTCCGTAGTGTGAAGGTATTTCGGCTATTTCAAGTCTGACAAAAATTAGAGTAGCGTGCACTGTAAATTGTGCCGAAAGCAAGTCTGGAAATACAATAAACTGGTGCATGCGTCACACTGTGCGCCACGTTATTGTTTCGGTGAAATGAATTTCTACAATACTGTTACTGTTAATTCTACTCTCTGCAGTGTTTAAATGCTTACATATACACACAGTTACTGTCCGTCCACACATACGACTCGGTTCTGCTTCTGTGCCCCAGCTTTGTTTACTTTTTCCCACCGAGGCTTCTAGACTTCTGATTGGCCAGTATTTCTGCACGGTTAGGAATCTAGCTCCACCTGCTGCTTTGGCATGTTCATAGCAGCGTTTTCCTTCATTTCTGCCTTTATGTGTGGACGGGATTATTTTTTAAAACGAAAACGGAAAATCTCAGTTTTCAAAAATACCCGTGTACGTGTGGACGTAGCCTCAGTCTCTGACTGGAAGCGCTAATTCGTCATTCGGCTTTTGTCAGACTAAAGTAACTGTTAAAACTGTTTGAAAAGCTCAGCTATACAACAAGGAGAGATTGAGAATTTCCTTTTAGTTCTCAGTTTATTTGATATTGACAAAAGTTAGTCAGTTTTGTCTGTTCTTCTGTAAAACAAACTAAGATTTATTTTTAGAATTAATATTTTGTTTCTAAGTGGAATTGACAATTTAGTCTGTTTCGTTTGTTCTATTTTGAAACTTAAACGCTTTAGCGGCTGCCTTTTGTGTAGTTTGCAATATTTGCCTTTATTTATCTGAAAAAGTCTCATGTTCCTTAAGTACATCTACCCTGTTGAACTTATTATGGGAAATAAATATTTAAATAAAAACAAGCTGCTGATTATTTCACATTTTACTTGTGAGCAACGGCACATTTAAATCTTACAAATATAGTTATTTGGCTTATATCGTGATATAGATCGTTATCGCCTGAAATGAAAAAAACATATCGTGATATGAAAAAATCTCATATCGCCCAGCTCTACCACACACTATTGAGGAGTAATAAATACTTCGCTGTGCTATGGATATGGTTTCAACTATGACTGATGACACAACAGCCAGCAAACTACAGGCTATTTATGATATCTGAAAGGACACAGAGGAGCAGCTTAAGGTGTGTGACAGCCGCTTTGCTCTACAGATGGATGAAGGCACTGAGAGTAACAAACAGGAGGACTTTGTGGGGATCTGCAGACTAGACTAGCAAGCTATGGCTGGGAAATGAGGAAATGTGGACTCATTTGAATTTGAAATCATTCATTGACAACAACAAGCTGCAGAACACAGTGATCTCATGCATGAAAGAACACATGTCTGCCCTTCAGAAACATTTCTTGAGATATTTTCTGGTGCCGGATTTTAAAAAAAGGATGACTGGATCCGTGACCCCTTCAGTGCAACACCACTTGCTGGCTTCAACACATCTGAGGAGGAACAGTTCATTTATCTCACCTCTGATTCAACAAAGAGGATGCCGTTTAAGTCAAAGACACTGGCTGCATTTTGGATTGGAGTGGAAAAAGATTACCCACTTTGACCATACATCTTCCTTTTGCAACATCCTACTTATGTGAGGTAGGCTTTATGCTGTGGCTTCAATCAAAACAAAATACAGATCAAAGCTGGGCATTGAATATGAACTCGGAGTAGCAGTCTTAACTGTTACCCATGTTTGAGAAGATCTGCAGCAACAAGCAGGCTCACACCAGTCACTGAAAAGAAAAATATTTAGCCCGTTTGTGAACCACTGCTTTACACTAAGCTTAAGGAATGCATCCCTCTGGACCATCTGGGTAATGAGCTACCAGAACTTTTTATGTAAGTGGAGACATTTATTTCTTACAATTTCAGTCTAAAGAGTTGTGCTGACAGATTTCTTTCTTTGCTGCAACAGCTTTTCATTTATCATGTAGAAAAACAGTTATATATTTAACTTCTTTACACTGACAGAAAGGGGAGTTTCACTGGACCCACTTAAGGTGTAAAAATTTCTGTCATCGTTGTATTTTTACTCAGTTGTATATAGTATTTGTATTCTATTTTTATCTTATTGTATATTTATTTTATTTTATTCTACTGTATATAGTATTTTATTTTATTCTATTCTGTACAGTTGTGTACTGTATTTATTCTTATTGTATTCTAATTTTTGCCTCATAACTTTTGCACTGTCCACTTCCTGCTGTGACAAAACAAATTTCCCACGTGTGGGACTAATAAAGGTTATCTTATCTTATCTTATCTTAAAATGACTTTGACACCTCTGACATAGAGGTAACACATCTGTGAATGTTGTGGACAAAAATATATGGCACTTAAAAGAAATACAAATAGAATCTGAACTTGGGATTTTTGGTTTATTATCATCTGGTGTGGATTATTTCTGTTATGCTTTTGTTGAGTCAAATCGTTACCAGTAAAAACTATCTGGAGTATAGCTAGCTAACTCTGATGTGATGCCATCTTTTCACACAGACCTCGTACGGTTTGTAACCATCCCACTTTGTTATCCTTCATCATAAATGCAGGCATGTGACTGTGTACCACGGTTTAGAGCATACATACATAGTATTATCTACAAATTTGGTAATTTAAGACACTGGTTGTCTCAGTCTTTTTTATTTTGTTGGCACAAACCGAAATCACTATATGATCACACTGCCAATGTATACAGCAGAATGCAAATGATAAAATGTGTTACACATAGTAAGGGGAAAGTATTGTGGGTAATCATCAGAGTAACAGAGGATTAACATAGAGACCTCACACTGCATCACCACAAGAATTAACAATCCCAGTTTGTTATCCTTTGTCATCAATGCAAACACTAAATAAAGGAGCTGTTACTATAAAATGCTGCTCCAGTTCACCCATTTAGACAGCCCAAGAAGACATCACACAGAGGTCACACTACCAGTCTGTGATAAGGCCAGAAGCTTATTTAGTAGGCAAGCTTCAGAAAAATCAGTGAGGAGGCATAAGGAGAGAGCAACAGTCTGTGGTCACCACCTGTAAAACCATTCACTTTCTGGGTTTTGTATCATTATTGTCTCACCAGAATCACGGCCCCTTAAGGCGACTGTTGTGATTTATATAAATAAAACTTAAAGGAAATAGAATTCATCATCCATCCATCAAATGCAGCTACCACTATCACTGTATTTTAAACGACATTTTTTTTCTGCCAGCTGAAAGAAACCAAGCAAAAATAACCCCAGCAAGTAAAATATTTTTGCCTGACCCTTGGGGCCTCCACACTCCATAAGGCATTAGTTTTGGATAAGATGAAAAAGAAGAACAAGAAGAAGAAGAACTGAGGAGAATTATTTCAGTGCAGATAGAGGACGTGCATATCGCAACATAACAGGTCATTCAAATATATAACATATAACGCTTCTCTATTTTGCTATTTAAAATCCGTTCATTCATATCATATCATATTATACAACTGACGTGCAAACTCGGCAAGCAAGACTATCATTAGCGTGGATGCTATCAGCCTCGACATTAACTCCCACAATGAGAGCTAAGAACCGTTTTATTTCGGCATGATGAATCTTAAACAGCTCAATGCACAGCCTGCTTGGATGAGCGTTTATCCTCATCCTTGCAGTACTAGGCTAGGTTAGCTAGGGCTTGCTAGCTCGATGAGTGAACGTTATTATAGTTTATGGACACTTTTTTCCATTTACGCTCCACTTTGCTGTAACCTTATGTACAGCTTTCGTGGTGCTTATTGTCTTAAACGTATAATAATAATCGGGCGACTGCATATTATATATTTCGGGCGTAGGTAAATGGCCACACTGCTAGGTACTGCCAGCTGATGCTATCCAGCCCGCTACCTAACGGTACTGCAATAGGCCTTTCTTTCTACTAAGCTGCCTGCCTCATTACCAGCTGTATTTAAAGAGGAACTCGTCTTCAGTTCGCAGTTACATTAAAACCGACTGCCATGAATCACGTATATTGTATCACGCTTCGAAAAATCATATGTCTGATCTAAACTATAAGTCATATACTACGGCATCTTTACCTGGGTTAGAGATGTGAGGGCTGCCATCTTCCCTGTTGCTCCGGGAACGCACCCAACGTTCCTCTCCAAAACATGACCCCCCCGCCCCCTATTGGACAACGCCACGCTTCCCTGCATAAACGGAAGACAATATTGAAGCTACACTTTGAAATTCTACATTTATCGTTAACGTGAATTCCTCGACGTGTCACAAATATTTTACAACCAAAAGCACAGATTCGCCTTTTCTGTGTGTGTTTGTGTGTGTGCTGTTAAGTTTATCAACTCCGTTTCAAATTTTATCAGAAGAGGTCACATATGAGGTCATGTACAATCTGATGCCTGATTTATCTGCGATGAGCCTTTGTAGAGCTACGACGTAACCTACGTAAGTGATGCACTTGTGTTGGTGCATTACGCGTTAATTAACAGCTGATAGAGATAAATAACCAGACTTTTTCCCACCGGTGTCCGCGCTTTCTTATGGTAAGTTTGTTTTTTTGTTTGTTTCATTCTTTTAGGAGGCAAACACATTGTCTATCTAGTTTTTCTACTTCTTTGTAGATTCCCTCACGTCCATTGTTGCAGCTTAAGCACCCTCCTTCAAGAATATTTGTGACTTTTTATACTGATGCTAATACTAATTACAATAGTTGCGGGCTTCATGGATCGACGTGTTACAGGACGTGTACGTGAAGTTAGCGTCGTACAGATCAGAGGGGTTTGCTGCCTGATTTCTGAGCTACATCGATCTACGGAAATCTACGTCGTTGTCACAAGAGTTACCCCTACTGGCAGTTAAGGAGAATGCCAGTTTAAGGTTCCCGCAGTCCAGCTTTGATCTGTATTTTGTCTTGATTGAAGCCACAGCAGAGGCCACAAGTAGGATGTGGCAAGAGGAACATGTATCAGCAGGGTTCTCTTACCTAGAAATATGTTATTAATAATAATGTATACTTTATTGAAATTACTCCTCTGCATTTGACCCATTCACTCAGTGAAGCAGTGGGCAGCCACTAAGCAGGCGCACGGGGGAGCAGTGTGTAGGGACGGTACCTTGCTCAGGGGTACCTCAGTAGATTTGAACCCCTAACCCTTCCGATCATGGGGCGACCACTCTACCTTCTGAGCTATTCCTTGATAGATTAATCAGCAGATCAATCACAGAAATTATGCAATGCCTGCTTGCAGTAATATAGTACACACAAAAACAATATTGATGACAAAATATCACTATTCATTTTTTAAAAGCCATTTAATATACACAATGCATAAACAAAACAAAAAAATCATCACAACTACTTCTCAACTCGTACATTTAAGGTTGGTAGTAATTCTTATAGACCCAAAAAAGAAAACAACAGACAAATTAACACCAGAGAGATGCCACAATGGCAGTTTGATCAATCCTTAATCCAAAGGCATGCCATAAATAAAACTCTTTTGCAAGGAACGAGCTAAGGAGCATTTGTCACAGCAAAATACAATTTCTCGCTCACATCGTTTATCCCATTAACAACACTACAGAACAATCGTGTGTCTAAACACAAGCACACTGGATGCTGAAAAACGACTTAACATTCCCATTTCTTTTAGTCCACTTTTAAATGAACACTGTTTGTAAAATAAAATGTGGTGAAGTCTTTGACCGTAAGGCATGGAGGAACAGCAGCCTAACCCTTTTCCAGTTTCAAGATGCATAGAGGATGTGATATGAGAACACTGAACAGAAAATGATTGTTTAAAAGAAATTCATGGATTCTTTGTTTGCAAAAAGTTTCACATTTTCATATTTTTTTCCTTTATGGCTACATGAATAGTAATGTAAGGTCCAATCTAACAAAACTGGTAAAAACAAACTAGCTAAAACCTCCTAGAAGTTTATTCTATGCTGAAAAAGCACATAAACATAGTTTTCCCTGTAAACTTAACACAGTACAAACCTAAAAAGGCTTTCTTGTTGTCTTGGTGAATGACAACAAACGTAGTTAAATGGGTAGTGAAGTTAACTGCTCTATTATATAAGACCAATGAATGCCTACAGTTTCTTATCATTTCTCCAACACAAATGTGAGAATGTCAAATTGAAACAGCAATCATTGAGAGTAAATAAAAAATAGAGTCTCCCTTGGGTCAGCTGGGGAAAGTATCGTGTATATTTCTGTACTTTCAGGATTTGTCTGCTCTATGAATCATCCTTAAGTTTATTTTATTGACTGAAATTTATAAATTAATCCTTGCCCCTAATAATACATAAAGTAAAATATTACTTATCCAAACCATCAAGAAAAAATGTTACTAATAGATGCAGTTTGTACTAATAATGTAATGACACTAAAATAAAGTGACTCAATCACACCATCACAACAAACTGAAAAAAAAAACACCTTTAAGTCAAAATGCAGGGCACAAGAGCAGACTCAGGGAGGAGCTACTAAAACCTCAAATGCTTGGTGGAGAAGGAAGAGGAGAAGCAGCAACAGCAGACATCACTGTTTCTTTATTTGCCTTATTATCATTATTATCGACTGTCCCCAGAGCTTTCCTTAACAAGGCAACAACAGTTTAACTGCACTTGTGTGAGTGATTCATTCTGACTTAACAGGTGTCTTGTGGAAAAGGAGTTTCTCTAACCCTAATTGCAGGGACTCTTTGTGACATTATCAGATGTGCATTTTCAATGCAACAGACTGAGTAAGTCAGTCATCAAAGAGACAAAACTTTGAGATAGTCTCGACTTGTAAAAGATAGGGGACACTAACATTTCTACATTTAATTAAAATGTAAATGATCTCAATTAAAAACATTTTATCATTTCTCCTTTTTGGGGAACGGTTGAATAGGTGTCAACATTTCAACTATCCAGCTGTGAAATTCAGTCACCTTTTACACATCTACATGGTCAGACACCAATAGAAGAATTTGCAAAGACTTTTTGCATGGACAAAATAAGCAGCGGAAGTGACAGGATCCAATATGAGCTTTGATCTAAATCAATAGTAGCTTCCAAGCAGTGAGGTCAACAGTTTTAGTCAAATGTTCAGGGAACTCCAACATGTAGGTTCGCATGTTGAAAATGCATTTTTTCTCATTTATTATGTATTACCTTACTTTACACATGTACAGTAGTTTAACGTGTTCAACAGGCAGCCTGTGAGCTCACTGCAGAGGAAATCCTCTAACTTAAATCCTGCTGGCCTGTGATGTAGGCTGTTTGCAAATTTACTGGTGGGACTTCTGTCAGTGTGGTCACTCAATACAAGCATCAGCAGTAATGATGTAGTAGCAGTGAGGCAATGCTCAGTGGTAGCACCTATGATGATCATCATAGCTGAATGAAGAGTAGGCAGCGCAACTAACTTTGAACACCATGTCATCATTGTCATCATCATCATCATCGTCATTTAATGGCCACAGTCCCATGGTGTGAAAAGAAATATCCCCTTCCTCTCCTGCCCTTGTTTCTCCCTGGCAGACTTGCAGTGGTGTCATCCACTCTGCAGCCCTCTGTTGAGCAGTGATGAGCCCGGTGATGCGGGCTTACTCATCGTCCCATGTTTGCTGTAGCAGGAAGTTAGCAGCTAGATTCTCATTCTTCTCACAAGCAAAGTATGCCTGGATGACTAAACCTTCAGGGAATCCCAGTGCTTTTAACTGGAAAACAATGTCATTGACATTTTCAGTCCTCCTTTCACCTTATGGACAATTCAACAAGACTAATAAATGTAAAAACACACCTACTATAAAACATTCATGCTCGTGTTCCTGCATTTATGCATTCATTTGTTGTTTGAAAAATTACATGAAGAAAAACTATTAAGTATACATAACTGCTTGACCAGAATATTGCAGAATACTGCCCTTCAAATTTGTATGTTTTCCAATGTGCATATTTAAGAATTTGTTTCATTAATGCTAACAGAAAAACATCAAGGATCCAGCAACATAATTTTCCATCACTGATGTTTCAACAAAAGTCATGGAAATTCAGTAGCAGGTTGTGTTCAGACTGATTTCCTTTCATATGTTTAAAAGAGAAAACTATTTGTTCCTAGGCTTGTGTAATTCTGCACAAATTGTGGAAATTTGGTGGAACTGACTGTGTCAATGTGACTGGCAAACTCACCCTCTCAATTGCCTCTTTCTCCTGTGGGGTGACCTGGATGTAGTTAGTGTGTGGTGACCCATGGGCATCAGCATCTTCTCCTCCTGTATCTCCAGCTTGTGGCTCATTCAGCATCTGTACAAAACGCTCCTGGTGCTCTGTGATTTGCTGCAAGTTACACAGTTGAACTGTATATCAACCACCCAGTTTAGGCAAACTACAGTGGACATGGTAAACAATTAGCTCATTCACTGCCAGCCATTTTCAAATGGCTGGCAGTGAAACACAACAAGACTTGCACCACATTTTTGTCTCACTGCGCAATCCCTTACGTGCGCAAACCCTGCACCTCCTTGCAGGTCTACTTTTACTGCTGGTGGGCTTCAGTTCAACTTACGTTGACTGCCATTGACGTCTATGGACGTCAATGGCAGTCAACGTAAGTTTTTCAATTGACGTCTATAGACGTCAATGGCAGTGAATGAGTTAATATAGTCACTTGGGGGGATTTTACGTTGCATTAACATATCAGAGAAATGTTTCCTGAAAAATACATTTACAGATTTATTTCTTTATTGTTCTTACTATTAGGAACAGTTCTTTGAGATACCTTAAACAGTCAAACAGAAATTATATTAACAGACCCTGACAGAACGCCAATAGAGAACGGTGAGTTTTGTGGTGTGGTACCTGCAGCAGCTGTGGGTTGTCTCTCCCGAGCTGTTGCAGCAGGGCTGGCAGGAGGGCTGGGTTCTGCTGGATGATCTGTCTCATCTGCTGGAACTGAGGCTGGTTCCTCAGGAACTCCAGAGGGTTCCCTATGGAGCCAGATCCTCCTCCAGCAGTGACAGGCTGGCTGCTGGACACAGGCCCTGCTCAGGAGGGGACAAAATGTTAACTGTTGCTATTCAAGAAGAGATTACATTTTATAGGATACAATGTAAAGACAGTAAAACCAAACAGTGAAGTCTGTTCTGAGAGTGGCTTCATAGTT